ACATTCAAAATAAAGCTTTGCTTTGACACAATATATTTGTGTGTCTATTAAATGCAGTATATTTTTTATGTGTATGTGATACACACATACATAGAAACAAACAGCACAAAGCGATTTCGTTACATAGATATATAGATATTTAAATGTATATATCATTTGTATTATATACATACATATTTTATAACTAAATATAAATAAACATTTTCCCAAATATATGCATGCATGTGTGTGTTCATATATAGATAATAAATATACACAGCACACACACCTAAATTATGTCAAGACAAACTTGATGTGACTAATCGTGATAGATTTTTGCCCAGCACTAGTCATTCTCTGCGCACTGTTGTCAGTTTTAAGATGAAAAATATTAATATTGTTCATTCATTTTTCTTATTTTCAACTTAAGTGCAACTAAATGAAAATGGAAAACATTTTTTTGTCAACTATTATATGTATAGAAAGAAATATTCAGACTGAAAATATATATTTGATGTAAACTTTCAAATGACAAATATTTCAATAGGGGAAGATAAGAGGAAAGGAATTTCTAAATTAATAAAGCTGTAACCAATAATCAGATTTTAATTATTGATGATAATAATTGTGAAACAAACATAACCACTATTTATACACTCGTTTATTTAACAGCATACTTTACATGCCAATTTGCACATAACAGCTGCATAAATAACATTAAGGCAATATGTTTGTAGATACACATGTCATTTTGTGTATTTGCATTCACTATTTACTTCTATTTTTTTATTCATTTATATAGTCATTCTGTTGCACTGTAGAAGTTTCTGTCACGAAAACAAAATTCCTCATTGTTTTTGAAGTGTAGTAGAGTACTTTAGTAATTAAGTAATAAGTAATAATAGAGTACTAAAGTAATTTAGTTTTATGTTTTTGTTGAATATGGTTTTTGTATACTATATAATATTTTCTATTAACAGAAATAGTCTACCGTTTACCTTTAGTAATCTTGGATCATACTAAAAATAATAATAATTGAAGAAAAGTTATCACACAACCTGTAAGTCTCTCTCTCTCTCCCTCCATTTTCTCCATCAGACTGACACAGAGAATGTGACCGTTCAGATGTCTCACCCCGGCATCATCATCCAGACAGTGACATCAGAGGACCTGGCAGACCCTCTCGGCCAATCAGAGCTTGAGGGAGAGCAGGTGCTGGTGAAGGAGGAGCCTTCAGAAAACCAAACCAACCCTGCAATAGAGGAGCCCAGTGAGGAGCAGTCAAAACAAGGAGAAAAGGTAGCAAACACAATCCAAAAACACCTGCTCTCATATCTCCTTCCTGCTCATGAAACCCTCTTTTTTTGTTGTTTCAGACTCTGGACTCTTCTAAAGTCGTGGAGACTGTGCTCATGGTCCCGTCTCCAGGTAGCTTTATTCCCACTAACGAGGACATCAGCAGCGATTCGGTCCTGCCTCTTGGAACACTGACAGGTAATGCTGTTATAGGCTGTTATAAGTGGTGTTTATCCATTTATTTGGTAGCATTTTACAATAACCTTGTATTTTAGGGCTGCACTATATTGGAAAAATACAACATTGCAATATTTCGCAATATATATATTGCAATACAAATACAATTTCACCAGATGAATTGAATGGCTCTATTTTAAACAATTAATTTTTGATTGATGAAAGTACAAGCATAGTTAACCGTGACAATAAGAGCAAATATAAAAGGGAAATAGACTGTGCAGGTGCAGAAATTGAAAAATCAAACATAAAATAAAACCACAAAGACTTACTGTTTAAATAGTTCAATAAAATTATTTTCTGTCAATTTAGCGCTTAAATACCTGCACATGATAAACTTTTACTCTATTATGGTTGACCTCTGCAGTAACTCCACAAAGTTCCTCTCCTCATTGTTACAAATAATAAATGTGGAGGTTCAGATTAATACGGTGTCAATACTATAATATGAAGTCTCAGTGACATGGAATCGTCTTGTTACGGGGCGAGGCACTTTGGGATGGGTTATTAAAGAGCAATTGATTGGTCAGAAGTTTGCATATAAATAAATAGTCATAAATGGTTGATTCTTGTTGGTGGGATTTTTAAATGTCTTCTAAATGCAAATTTAATCAGTTTTGGAGATGATAACCTTTAAAGGGACTTCTGTAACTGTTGCCTCTCATAATATTTGTTTTTGCTACTTTACTATTTATTTATTTATTTGTTTATTTATTTGTTTTTTTAACACAAAAAATGCTTTGGAAAATGTTAAACATCTGTAACTATTGACTCTCATAGTATTTGTTTTTCCTACTTTACTATTTATTTATTTATTTGTTTATTTGTTTGTTTATTTATTTTTTGAACACAAAAGAAGATGCTTTGAAAAATGTTGGAAACCTGTAACTATTGACTCTCATGGTATTTGTTTTTCCCTACTTTCCTATTTGTTTATTTATTTTTTGAACACAAAAGAAGATGCTTTGAAAAATGTTAAAAACCTGTAACTATTGGCTCTCATAGTATTTTTTTTTTCTATCAATGGTTATTGTTTTCTGACATTTTTTTAAATATCTTCTTTAGTTTTAACTGCAACTCTTTAAAAACTCTTTAAAACTGCTCGACGATGAGTAAATACAGTGTAGATTTTTCGTTTTTTTGGTTGAACTCTCTTTAAATCTAACGTATTGAAACGAACACCTAATAAACTGTCCTTTTAGGACATTTTTACCTGTATTTGTGAAGCTATTTAATTAACTAACATGTTGTGAAACCCATCTGTCTATTTGTATTCCCATGCAGATCCCATTCTGGAGAACCAGGAAGAGGGATCAAACTGATCCTGGAGCAACATTGTAACCCGGACAGAAATTTAACACAACAGCAACACGAGACACTGACTTTAAAGAACCCGTTCCCTTATACAGGGACAAATGCAGCATGCAGGATCATCCAGACATCATGTGTGCGCACATGCCAACACTTTCTCAGTATTTATTATTAATCATGCAAGTTTCTGAGCCTCTCAGTGCAGATGAAAGGGATAGTTCAAACAAAAAAGCAAACATTTACTCCCCATTTACTCACCCTGATTTGGTTTTAAACCTTTATGAGTTCCTTCTTTCTGTTGAACACAAAAGAAGACGTTTTGAAGAAAGTTGTAAACCGGTAACTATTGACATCAATAGTATATATATATACATATTTTGAATGAACTATCCCTTTAAATACTCTAATGAAGCAACACTTGCTTTTATATGGTGTATTAAAATGATGTAATACGTTAATGTTGTTTTTTTGTGTGTATATATATATATATCTTGTTTTGAATAGTTTTTGTAGCCTATGTTCCTGCTTAACAGTAATACTTGATAAAGCCACACAAAGCTGCACTGTTCTGACGTTATAGAGGTTGTACAACAATATTTGCATCATTCCATAATGTCCATTAGACTAGATGGCCATGATTTATCAAATGGTTTGAATATATTAACCTAACCTGTATATTAGCGCCTCGGTGTTTATTTATTGAATAAACAAAATGTCACCACTGACATGTCAGTGCTGTTTACTCATTATGGGATGATATCTTGTTGTGAATGAATAGGCTGATCAATTAAATGGAGTGCATTAGATTAACAAACAAGACAGCCATTTTTGCATTAACAAGACCTTTTTTAGACATTTTTATTAAGGTTTTATTTATTTTTGGTTTAATTTTAGTTTATTAATGGTTTAATAAATATATTCTATTACTTATTTTTGTACAATTAAGTTAAATGAATAAAGAAAATATATATTTCCATGCCACCATAGCTGAAATGAATTTATTATTATTTTTTTTATTCTTATTTTGCTTAATGTGACTGTATATTTTAATTAATAAAGTGGTTTCAGATAAGTCTTAGGTGTAAAAATGGGTTTAGCAAACTATAATGAACTGCTATAAATGTGATTTTATAATTGATAATTGAAGGACTTAATCGCTAAGTCTATTTTCCTTTTGCATTTTATTTGAGGAGGTCTAAAATTTAAATTTTTAAGCGAAATTAAACATGATTGTGCAGATATTAAAGAATAAATATGAAAATAAACTGAAAATCTTTTTTTTAAGTTTATATGTAATTTTATTTATTATTATTATTGTTTTGTTTTTTATTTATTTGCTCATACACGAACTGGCCACAAGAGGGAGCTGATAAACCATAAACATTAAATAGATGATGAGTATGCAGATATTAAAAAAGCCTACATTTTCAGGACAGAAGTCATTAAATAAAGTGAAAAATCTTTTTTATTTGTAAGTTTATTTTTAATTTTATTTATTCATGCTTTATTGTTGTTTTTATTTATTGGAATGTACACAAATAGGCCACAAGAGGGAGCTGATAATCCATAAACAATAACTAGGGAGTAAATAAATGATGAGGATGCAGATATTAAAAAAAACAATGTTCTGGACAGAAGTCATTAAATAAAGTGAAAAATCCTCTCTTTTATTTGTAAGTTTGTGTTTAATTTTATTTATGCCTTATTATTGTTTTTATTTATATGCTTTTACACAAATTGGCCACAAGAGGGAGCTGATAATCCATAAACAACTAGTAAATAGATGATGAGGATGCAGATATCAAAAAACCTATATGTTTTGAACAGAAGTCATTGAATAAACTGAAAAATCTTCTCTTTATTTGGTGAGTTTGTGTTTAATTTTATTAATGCTTCATTATAGTTTTATTTTTTATACAATTTGCTCATGCACGAATTGGCCACAAGAGGGAGCTGATATCCCATAAACAATAAATAGATGATGAGTAAATGAGTATGCAGATATAAGCCTATATTTTTTGGAAAGAAGTCAGTGAATAAACTGAAATATATTTTCTTTTTTTAACACTACAACTACTGGCTTACATACAAAACTCGTCTCGTATGGTTGAAGCGAAAGCGCAGTTTTACATCCAGTCCACGAGACGGCGCGAGCGACTCCACGTTCAGTCTGACTCTCAGCTTCAGGTGTTTGTTTGACAACAACAAGCGTGTGTTGACAGCCGGCAAAACAAAACACGTGCAGTTTGTTTTAAACACATGATTTACAGATGACAGCTCAGCGACAGACTCTTAATGTGTTTAAACAGCACATATTAAAGCTCAGCAGCAAATTAAAGCTGCAGACTCTGTGATAAAGTGCAGGAATCAAGTGAAGAGACTCACCTGTAAGTATCATCTCATATAAAGTACTTTATTTGCTTGTAAAATGACTGACACGAGCTATATAACAGTATTTAGGTTTTATAAAAGTCATTGATATTTATTGTGTCTGGTGTTATTACAGCAGGATTTGTCTGTCAGTTGTTTTAGATGGATGTTGTGATGAATATTTACATTTTTCTGCTAATATCACTTTCAGACTTTATATTTAGTGTTAAACGTATAGCATTGAGCTGTTTATAATATAAAGCAACTTAAATCTGCACTTATGCTTGTTTAAAAAGTCATTTAGTGAGCTTTGTTGAGCTGCAGTGTTCAGTATTGTACCTGTCCAATATACAGTGTGTGTCTTATCTTGTTTATGAGCTCTTATGCTGGTGAAGTTCTCAGTTCTGCTGTTTCAGATGTATTTCAGTAGTAAAGTGTTTATTTCTGTGTTTCCTCTACAGGATGAAGGATGTGTTTGGAGTGAACAGAAGCAGAGCTCTGGGACATTTGGACAGCCGTGGACTGTAATGGTGGACTTCTGCTGATGGACAGGTGAGACTCGTATCTTGTGTTTGAGTTTTGGTGTGTCGGTTATCATCATTTTCTTTCTGGAGGGTCGTCCCTCTGGAAAGGAAATGATGGTAACCGAAACGGGAGGAGAAGGGACGGGGTCCCAAATTTTTATACAGCTAATTTTAATTTTGTAGTAAAAAGCAGCATAACCCCTGCTGTACATGGCCCCGTAGGTCAGGGGGGGACCCGACCCATCCCCCCCCTTCTTTCACACTGACATTCACACATATCGCAGTGATCTGGCTGGGGTTGAACCAGCAACCTCTTAACCCATGAGGCATTGCTCTACCACTGAGCCACAGTCACATACCTAATGATATGCTGGAACTTATATTTGACTGTTCAAGTGCACATCAAAACATGTAAAGCCTGAGTGAGGATTGAACCCAGCTTTCTTTGATGTGAGCATAGTGCTCTACCACTGAGCCACAGATCTCATTGTAAGGTACATGCTGGAACTTATATTTGACTATTATTTCACCACCTGTTGTGCAATAAAGTGAGCACAGTTGGGCTTTGAACCCAATTCATCATGACAGCCTCAGCTATGGAGAACATGTGTTCAGTCAGGAGCGCCACTGCAACTCTCACGCTAGTACGTGGAGTTTAGCAGAGTTTGTCAGATATAATGACACTTGTTTAATGTATGCAATAGTGAGATTTGAACTCCGCACTTCTTAGTAACAACACAATGCTTTAACCACTGAGCCACAGAGCTTTTGACTATGCACATATGTTTCACCCTGATTTTACAACAAACCTGTTAAAAAATCAACATGCTGAATTGGGATTTGAACCGTGACTCCATCAACTAAGAACAGATGTTTAAACACATGCACCACTGTGAATTCACATTTAAAGCTGGTATTTTTGACACTTTGTTTGATGTTAGTACATCTGTTAATCACAATCAAAAATGGGATTTGAACCCATAATGCTTTCAGCACTGAAGAGGCGATTAACCACATGCACCACTGGGACTTTCGCACTGCATACTGGTGTTTTAGGATACTTTGTTGCAATTATTTATGTCTATTCATCACATTTAAAATAGGGATTTGAACCCACAACTTTAGCAAAGGCAAACATGCATTCAACCACATGCACCACTGTGACTTTCATACTGAAAGCTAGAGTTTTGGACACTTTGTTTGATTTAATTACATCTATTTATTACAATCAAAAGAGGGAGTTGAACTGCAGCCTTTAGCTCAGAGGGTGCAGCTGATTATCTACTACACTACAAAGCAAGCGACGTTTACAAAAGACTTTTTTCATGTATTCATTCTTTGATTGAAGTATTTCAATTGCACAAGTATTTTTTGACTATTTAAAAATGTCACATGCAAACGTAATGAATCAAACACAATACTGAACTGAATAAAGAGTATCAAATGCACAATATTTCCACATCATTTCTAAATATCATTCATTTATTTGAGTTTTTTTATATAGAAATAACAGAGTCACATTTGCCTTTTAGCTTCTCATTATCTGAAAGTGCTTATGTGTTTTAATCAGGTTGGAGGTTAACTCTGGAAAGTGGATCTTCAGGATCAGGATTAAACAACAGCTTTAGAAAAAAAGTCTGCATTTGTTCTTCAGTTTTCATGTGTTGATGCAGAACCACTCTTTGTCCACAAGATGGAGCTAAAACACTGCTCTGATCTCATGCGCCTCTAAATAAATCCGCCATTAAACACCAATAAATATTTAGTAGTCAACATATTAAATTAATTGATAGGAATTTACATTTTAAACCAGATTTTATTTGTTCAGACATGCTGTATGCACAGTCAAAATCGTCTATAAATGCTGCTTGCATTTGCTAACAGTGATATAAAAACTAAATAAATATTTACAATAAGTCAACATCACTTAAAAAAAGAAGCAAAATAAATAAAGTTGACACAGAGACAGACTAAAAGAGTCTCCTGTTTTGTGTTTACACTTGAGGCTTGTGTCATTTAGCATTATCTTACCACGTCAGGTTCAGATCCTGAATTAATCATGGATTAGTTTGCATATGAAAATGAACCCCTATGCTATTTACTTACGACTTATAATAAATTAAGTTACACGGACGCATTTAAAGTCATTTTGATATGTTAAGTCTGACACATTTAAACAGCACAGTAATGCTAGCAGACTGAGGAACTACACAGAAGCGGACATGCCGTTCTACATCCGCTCCACCAGGCGGCGCGAGCGACTCCACGTTCAGTCTGACTCTCAGCTTCAGGTGTTTGTTTGACAACAACAAGCGTGTGTTGACAGCCGGAAAAACAAAACACGTGCAGTTTGTTTCAAACACATGATTTACAGATGACAGCTCAGCGAGAGACTTTTAATGTGTTTAAACAGCACATATTAAAGCTCAGCAGCAAATTAAAGCAGCAGACTCTGTGATAAAGTGCAGGAATCAAGTGAAGAGACTCACCTGTAAGTATCATCTCATATAAAGTACTTTATTTGCATGTAAAATGACTGACACGAGCTATATAACAGTATTTAGGTTTTATAAAAGTCATTGATATTTATTGTGTCTGGTGTTATTACAGCAGGATTTGTCTGTCAGTTGTTTTAGATGGATGTTGTGATGAATATTTACATTTTTCTGCTAATATCACTTTCAGACTTTATATTTAGTGTTAAACGGATAGCATTGAGCTGTTTATAATATAAAGCAACTTAAATCTGCACTTATGCTTGTTTAAAAAAGTCAATTAGTGAGCTTTGTAGAGCTGCAGTGTTCAATATTGTACCTGTCCAATATAGAGTATGAATTAATGTCTTTTATCTTCTGTTTATGAGCTCTTATGCTGGTGAAGTTCTCAGTTCTGCTGTTTCAGATGTATTTCAGTAGTAAAGTGTTTATTTCTGTTTCCTCTACAGGATGAAGGATGTGTTTGGAGTGAACAGAAGCAGAGCTCTGGGACATTTGGACAGCCGTGGACTGTAATGGTGGACTTCTGCTGATGGACAGGTGAGACTCGTATCTTGTGTTTGAGTTTTGGTGTGTCGGTTATCATCATTTTCTTTCTGGAGGGTCGTCCCTCTGGAAAGGAAATGATGATAACCGAAACGGGAGGAGAAGGGACGGCGTCCCAAATTTTTATACAGCTAATTTTAATTTTGTAGTAAAAAGCAGCATAACCCCTGCTGTACATGGCCCCGTAGGTCAGGGGGAGACCCGACCCATCCCCCCCCTTCTTTCACACTGACATTCACACATATCGCAGTGATCTGGCTGGGGTTGAACCAGCAACCTCTTAACCCATGAGGCATTGCTCTACCACTGAGCCACAGTCACATACCTAATGATATGCTGGAACTTATATTTGACTATTCAAGAGCACATCAAAACATGTAAAGCCTGAGTGAGGATTGAACCCAGCTTTCTTTGATGTGAGCATAGTGCTCTACCACTGAGCCACAGATCTCATTGTAAGGTACATGCTGGAACTTATATTTGACTATTATTTCACCACCTGTTGTGCAATAAAGTGAGCACAGTTGGGCTTTGAACCCAATTCATCATGACAGCCTCAGCTATGGAGAACATGTGTTCAGTCAGGAGCGCCACTGCAACTCTCACGCTAGTACGTGGAGTTTAGCAGAGTTTGTCAGATATAATGACACTTGTTTAATGTATGCAATAGTGAGATTTGAACTCCGCACTTCTTAGTAACAACACAATGCTTTAACCACTGAGCCACAGAGCTTTTGACTATGCACATATGTTTCACCCTGATTTTACAACAAACCTGTTAAAAAATCAACATGCTGAATTGGGATTTGAACCGTGACTCCATCAACTAAGAACAGATGTTTAAACACATGCACCACTGTGAATTCACATTTAAAGCTGGTATTTTTGACACTTTGTTTGATGTTAGTACATCTGTTAATCACAATCAAAAATGGGATTTGAACCCATAATGCTTTCAGCACTGAAGAGGCGATTAACCACATGCACCACTGGGACTTTCGCACTGCATACTGGTGTTTTAGGATACTTTGTTGCAATTATTTATGTCTATTCATCACATTTAAAATAGGGATTTGAACCCACAACTTTAGCAAAGGCAAACATGCATTCAACCACATGCACCACTGTGACTTTCATACTGAAAGCTAGAGTTTTGGACACTTTGTTTGATTTAATTACATCTATTTATTACAATCAAAAGAGGGAGTTGAACTGCAGCCTTTAGCTCAGAGGGTGCAGCTGATTATCTACTACACTACAAAGCAAGCGACGTTTACAAAAGACTTTTTTCATGTATTCATTCTTTGATTGAAGTATTTCAATTGCACAAGTATTTTTTGACTATTTAAAAATGTCACATGCAAACGTAATGAATCAAACACAATACTGAACTGAATAAAGAGTATCAAATGCACAATATTTCCACATCATTTCTAAATATCATTCATTTATTTGAGTTTTTTTATATAGAAATAACAGAGTCACATTTGCCTTTTAGCTTCTCATTATCTGAAAGTGCTTATGTGTTTTAATCAGGTTGGAGGTTAACTCTGGAAAGTGGATCTTCAGGATCAGGATTAAACAACAGCTTTAGAAAAAAAGTCTGCATTTGTTCTTCAGTTTTCATGTGTTGATGCAGAACCACTCTTTGTCCACAAGATGGAGCTAAAACACTGCTCTGATCTCATGCGCCTCTAAATAAATCCGCCATTAAACACCAATAAATATTTAGTAGTCAACATATTAAATTAATTGATAGGAATTTACATTTTAAACCAGATTTTATTTGTTCAGACATGCTGTATGCACAGTCAAAATCGTCTATAAATGCTGCTTGCATTTGCTAACAGTGATATAAAAACTAAATAAATATTTACAATAAGTCAACATCACTTAAAAAAAGAAGCAAAATAAATAAAGTTGACACAGAGACAGACTAAAAGAGTCTCCTGTTTTGTGTTTACACTTGAGGCTTGTGTCATTTAGCATTATCTTACCACGTCAGGTTCAGATCCTGAATTAATCATGGATTAGTTTGCATATGAAAATGAACCCCTATGCTATTTACTTACGACTTATAATAAATTAAGTTACACGGACGCATTTAAAGTCATTTTGATATGTTAAGTCTGACACATTTAAACAGCACAGTAATGCTAGCAGACTGAGGAACTACACAGAAGCGGACATGCCGTTCTACATCCGCTCCACCAGGCGGCGCGAGCGACTCCACGTTCAGTCTGACTCTCAGCTTCAGGTGTTTGTTTGACAACAACAAGCGTGTGTTGACAGCCGGAAAAACAAAACACGTGCAGTTTGTTTCAAACACATGATTTACAGATGACAGCTCAGCGAGAGACTTTTAATGTGTTTAAACAGCACATATTAAAGCTCAGCAGCAAATTAAAGCAGCAGACTCTGTGATAAAGTGCAGGAATCAAGTGAAGAGACTCACCTGTAAGTATCATCTCATATAAAGTACTTTATTTGCATGTAAAATGACTGACACGAGCTATATAACAGTATTTAGGTTTTATAAAAGTCATTGATATTTATTGTGTCTGGTGTTATTACAGCAGGATTTGTCTGTCAGTTGTTTTAGATGGATGTTGTGATGAATATTTACATTTTTCTGCTAATATCACTTTCAGACTTTATATTTAGTGTTAAACGGATAGCATTGAGCTGTTTATAATATAAAGCAACTTAAATCTGCACTTATGCTTGTTTAAAAAAGTCAATTAGTGAGCTTTGTAGAGCTGCAGTGTTCAATATTGTACCTGTCCAATATAGAGTATGAATTAATGTCTTTTATCTTCTGTTTATGAGCTCTTATGCTGGTGAAGTTCTCAGTTCTGCTGTTTCAGATGTATTTCAGTAGTAAAGTGTTTATTTCTGTTTCCTCTACAGGATGAAGGATGTGTTTGGAGTGAACAGAAGCAGAGCTCTGGGACATTTGGACAGCCGTGGACTGTAATGGTGGACTTCTGCTGATGGACAGGTGAGACTCGTATCTTGTGTTTGAGTTTTGGTGTGTCGGTTATCATCATTTTCTTTCTGGAGGGTCGTCCCTCTGGAAAGGAAATGATGATAACCGAAACGGGAGGAGAAGGGACGGCGTCCCAAATTTTTATACAGCTAATTTTAATTTTGTAGTAAAAAGCAGCATAACCCCTGCTGTACATGGCCCCGTAGGTCAGGGGGAGACCCGACCCATCCCCCCCCTTCTTTCACACTGACATTCACACATATCGCAGTGATCTGGCTGGGGTTGAACCAGCAACCTCTTAACCCATGAGGCATTGCTCTACCACTGAGCCACAGTCACATACCTAATGATATGCTGGAACTTATATTTGACTATTCAAGAGCACATCAAAACATGTAAAGCCTGAGTGAGGATTGAACCCAGCTTTCTTTGATGTGAGCATAGTGCTCTACCACTGAGCCACAGATCTCATTGTAAGGTACATGCTGGAACTTATATTTGACTATTATTTCACCACCTGTTGTGCAATAAAGTGAGCACAGTTGGGCTTTGAACCCAATTCATCATGACAGCCTCAGCTATGGAGAACATGTGTTCAGTCAGGAGCGCCACTGCAACTCTCACGCTAGTACGTGGAGTTTAGCAGAGTTTGTCAGATATAATGACACTTGTTTAATGTATGCAATAGTGAGATTTGAACTCCGCACTTCTTAGTAACAACACAATGCTTTAACCACTGAGCCACAGAGCTTTTGACTATGCACATATGTTTCACCCTGATTTTACAACAAACCTGTTAAAAAATCAACATGCTGAATTGGGATTTGAACCGTGACTCCATCAACTAAGAACAGATGTTTAAACACATGCACCACTGTGAATTCACATTTAAAGCTGGTATTTTTGACACTTTGTTTGATGTTAGTACATCTGTTAATCACAATCAAAAATGGGATTTGAACCCATAATGCTTTCAGCACTGAAGAGGCGATTAACCACATGCACCACTGGGACTTTCGCACTGCATACTGGTGTTTTAGGATACTTTGTTGCAATTATTTATGTCTATTCATCACATTTAAAATAGGGATTTGAACCCACAACTTTAGCAAAGGCAAACATGCATTCAACCACATGCACCACTGTGACTTTCATACTGAAAGCTAGAGTTTTGGACACTTTGTTTGATTTAATTACATCTATTTATTACAATCAAAAGAGGGAGTTGAACTGCAGCCTTTAGCTCAGAGGGTGCAGCTGATTATCTACTACACTACAAAGCAAGCGACGTTTACAAAAGACTTTTTTCATGTATTCATTCTTTGATTGAAGTATTTCAATTGCACAAGTATTTTTTGACTATTTAAAAATGTCACATGCAAACGTAATGAATCAAACACAATACTGAACTGAATAAAGAGTATCAAATGCACAATATTTCCACATCATTTCTAAATATCATTCATTTATTTGAGTTTTTTTATATAGAAATAACAGAGTCACATTTGCCTTTTAGCTTCTCATTATCTGAAAGTGCTTATGTGTTTTAATCAGGTTGGAGGTTAACTCTGGAAAGTGGATCTTCAGGATCAGGATTAAACAACAGCTTTAGAAAAAAAGTCTGCATTTGTTCTTCAGTTTTCATGTGTTGATGCAGAACCACTCTTTGTCCACAAGATGGAGCTAAAACACTGCTCTGATCTCATGCGCCTCTAAATAAATCCGCCATTAAACACCAATAAATATTTAGTAGTCAACATATTAAATTAATTGATAGGAATTTACATTTTAAACCAGATTTTATTTGTTCAGACATGCTGTATGCACAGTCAAAATCGTCTATAAATGCTGCTTGCATTTGCTAACAGTGATATAAAAACTAAATAAATATTTACAATAAGTCAACATCACTTAAAAAAAGAAGCAAAATAAATAAAGTTGACACAGAGACAGACTAAAAGAGTCTCCTGTTTTGTGTTTACACTTGAGGCTTGTGTCATTTAGCATTATCTTACCACGTCAGGTTCAGATCCTGAATTAATCATGGATTAGTTTGCATATGAAAATGAACCCCTATGCTATTTACTTACGACTTATAATAAATTAAGTTACACGGACGCATTTAAAGTCATTTTGATATGTTAAGTCTGACACATTTAAACAGCACAGTAATGCTAGCAGACTGAGGAACTACACAGAAGCGGACATGCCGTTCTACATCCGCTCCACCAGGCGGCGCGAGCGACTCCACGTTCAGTCTGACTCTCAGCTTCAGGTGTTTGTTTGACAACAACAAGCGTGTGTTGACAGCCGGAAAAACAAAACACGTGCAGTTTGTTTCAAACACATGATTTACAGATGACAGCTCAGCGAGAGACTTTTAATGTGTTTAAACAGCACATATTAAAGCTCAGCAGCAAATTAAAGCAGCAGACTCTGTGATAAAGTGCAGGAATCAAGTGAAGAGACTCACCTGTAAGTATCATCTCATATAAAGTACTTTATTTGCATGTAAAATGACTGACACGAGCTATATAACAGTATTTAGGTTTTATAAAAGTCATTGATATTTATTGTGTCTGGTGTTATTACAGCAGGATTTGTCTGTCAGTTGTTTTAGATGGATGTTGTGATGAATATTTACATTTTTCTGCTAATATCACTTTCAGACTTTATATTTAGTGTTAAACGGATAGCATTGAGCTGTTTATAATATAAAGCAACTTAAATCTGCACTTATGCTTGTTTAAAAAAGTCAATTAGTGAGCTTTGTAGAGCTGCAGTGTTCAATATTGTACCTGTCCAATATAGAGTATGAATTAATGTCTTTTATCTTCTGTTTATGAGCTCTTATGCTGGTGAAGTTCTCAGTTCTGCTGTTTCAGATGTATTTCAGTAGTAAAGTGTTTATTTCTGTTTCCTCTACAGGATGAAGGATGTGTTTGGAGTGAACAGAAGCAGAGCTCTGGGACATTTGGACAGCCGTGGACTGTAATGGTGGACTTCTGCTGATGGACAGGTGAGACTCGTATCTTGTGTTTGAGTTTTGGTGTGTCGGTTATCATCATTTTCTTTCTGGAGGGTCGTCCCTCTGGAAAGGAAATGATGATAACCGAAACGGGAGGAGAAGGGACGGCGTCCCAAATTTTTATACAGCTAATTTTAATTTTGTAGTAAAAAGCAGCATAACCCCTGCTGTACATGGCCCCGTAGGTCAGGGGGAGACCCGACCCATCCCCCCCCTTCTTTCACACTGACATTCACACATATCGCAGTGATCTGGCTGGGGTTGAACCAGCAACCTCTTAACCCATGAGGCATTGCTCTACCACTGAGCCACAGTCACATACCTAATGATATGCTGGAACTTATATTTGACTATTCAAGAGCACATCAAAACATGTAAAGCCCGAGTGAGGATTGAACCCAGCTTTCTTTGATGTGAGCATAGTGCTCTACCACTGAGCCACAGATCTCATTGTAAGGTACATGCTGGAACTTATATTTGACTATTATTTCACCACCTGTTGTGCAATAAAGTGAGCACAGTTGGGCTTTGAACCCAATTCTTCATGACAGCCTCAGCTATAGAGAGCATGTGTTCAGTCATGAACGCCACTGCAACTCTCACGCTTGTATGTGGAGTTTAGCAAAGTTTTTCAGATATAATGACACTTGTTTAATGTATGCAATAGTGAGATTTGAACTCCGCACTTCTTAGTAACAACACAATGCTTTAACCACTGAGCCACAGAGCTTTTGACTTTTCACATATGTTTCACCCTGATTTTACAACAAACCTGTTAAAACTTCAACATTCAGAAGTGGGATTTGAACCCGTGACTCCATCAATAGAGAACAGATGTTTAACCACATGCACCACTGTGACTACACATTTAAAACTGGTGTTTTAGACACTTTGTTTGATGTTAGTACATCTATCACAATCAAAAGTTGGATTTTAACCCATTATTTAAAAAGTAGTTAAATAATGAAAACCAAATACTTTTATTAACTCAAACTCACAGTGAAACACATACACGATTTGTAAAAGCATCATCAGTTTAGTCAAATCAATCTTTTATTATCATCATCTGAATTACAGAGTTTGTCACACATTTGCCTTGAAGCTTCTCGTTTGCTGAAAGTCCTTAATTAAAAGCCTCAGGTGTTTTCATCTGGTTGGAGTTTCACTCTGGAAAGTGGATCTTCAGGATCAGGATTTCTCCTAATCGAAAAAATGTCTTAGTAATTCAGTTTCAAGTATTAATGCAGATCCACTTATTGTCCACAAGATGGAGCTGAAACACTGATCTGACCCTAATGCATCTTTCTGTAATAAATAAAGCTGATGTTATAAACGCAAACAAATGATTAATATTCATTATATAACATAGACTTTATTTGTCTAAACATGTCAAAGTTTACTAAAAATGCTGCTTAGATCTGCCAACAGCGATTCAACAAATCAAAATATTGAATCAACATTATCAACACAAATACACTTGACACTAAGATGCATTAAAACAATATTATTAAAACAAATATAAAGAACAATATTATATATATTTGACTGCTGGACTGCTCCATGATTGGGGTGGTAGATATTTTATAACATTACAACACATAACATTACATTATCATAATATCATGTTTTATTGTATATTAAATAATATTTAATGATGTAAAACTTGAATTTGTTTGACTCTCACCTTACAAAATATGATGGAAAACAATATAGTTTATAGGTAAAGTTGGCACTTTTAGATATTTATTGGTGGCCCCCAGATGTCCTGGGGCCCTAAGCGGCTGCTTACCTCACTTATTAGTTAAATCCGCCCCTGCAGATCAGATCAGATATTCATACGTTGGTATTGTGTTGTCGTATAAAATATGGTACCTCTGAAGTAGGCATGGGCCGGTGTAAGAGTGATGGTATAATAACCTTATGATAACCTTAATATTTTCTTTTTTTAAATGTCTGGGTAAATAACAACAACTTTCCCCGCTTTGAACACAATATATTTTATCTTAAGAAACATTTAAAACATTTTGGAACAGTAAACATGTCAGACTAAATAGTTAAAATGAATCATTAGCCCTGTTCACACATACAGACCTTTCCGGAAAATTACCCGCAGTATGTGTGAACAGGCCCTTTTTGAAAGTACAGGTAAATTCGTTCTGGCAATTGTCCGGAAAGAGATGTTGTAACATTACCTGCTGGAATGCTGCGCTGTGTGAACACAGAAGGAAGATTGCCGGAAAGAGCCCGTTCACGCTTAGAACACGCTGATGTGAGACGTCTACTCCAGCCAATCAGAACACTCAGACACATTCACATCCGTGCTCTTTATGAAAATAAAAGCCTTTGAATATTTTTCCAGACACAGTTAGCTGCAAGTTGCTAGTCAGATAACGTTTCTATGTTCCTTCTTAATGATAACTGTGTAAAAAATGCGTATGATAAGCCGTTGTTTGTTTACCTTTAAGCTCTGCTTGTGCACGGAGCCGGTGAGCGCCAGCACACTCACACGCTATGTATATCTCGACATGTGAAAGTGTTCCTCTATATGTTTTCATCAAAGTTGTTCACAATACAGAGTTTGTGATGTAGTCAAATGTTTACAAATTACAAGCGCAGACGATAACGGTAATTTCTGGTTAATGATGTCAGAATTTACCTGTATTTTGGAATGGATGTGTGAATGTTTTTTCTGGAAAAATTATGTACTGTCCTTGCCTGTGTGAACAGCGCTTTTTTGAATATACTGGTGAAGAGTCGTTCCGGAATTTTTTGGGCATATTTACTGGTATCACTGTGTAAATGGGGTCAAATGTCAAAATAAAGTGGCGCAACTGAACATGTTCAGACATTCATTGATGATTTAACACATCGATCTGATCTTGTGCATCTGTTATTTGAAGATGTAAATGTGTTTAGTCATTAGCTCACTCAGACTTTAATGATCATTCCCTGAAATTTGCCCAAATAACTAATCAAGATTTACCATAAATGCATGATGAATGATCAGTCCTCATGAAGTTTGACTGTGGTTTAACCTGTGCTGGAAATGAATGGTCATCACAGGTCTGTAGAAGCCAGAGACTCATCCATCCTGAACCATCCAGAGACTCAGAGCTTTACATCTTCATTACTGAAGCAGAGGAAGAGGCGTTCAGTAAAAACTCTTGAGTCGAGATCTTCATGAAGAACAAAAGTGAAATGATATTTAACTTAATTCTTCATACTTTAACTTAACACTGATTTATAAAGCACACGCTGCAGCCTGTACAACTGGACTGAATGAACATGTATGAAGTGACAATGACATTTAACAGTTTTTGGAGATAGAAACATTTGTTTGAATGGATAGTGTGAATTAAATGTGTGATGAACAAGTTTTAATAATAAAATATATATTTTGAACAATCTGAGTTTAATGTTTCTTTCACATTGGGAAGTGCTCAACATGAAACCAGCTAAAAAATAATGAAATTGCCAGAGAATTAGTAAGAGTTTAAATGGTTATAATGCAAATTGCATTGCGTGACATATCTGAAGAGCGGTGGGGGCGTGTGCGTGCGTTGTACCCGAAGAGCGGTGAGGGTGAGTTGCGTGCGACGTACCTGAAGAGCTGGGAGGGAGGCGGTGGAGAGGGGTGTACATGGGGCGGGAGACGCGCGATTTCCGGGAGATTATCATTTGTTTGCGGGCATTAGGGAGACTCTATGCATTTGATTCGGGATGTCTGTTACATAAGCTTTCCAGTTCATCTGTTTTACTCCATCAGGTAAAGCTGATATCGATCTTCTGCTGGCCGAGACAATCACAAAATCAAATGTGTTTTAAAATACATTAGATCGTGTTAAAATCTCCTTAATCTCTCTTTACTGTTCACTCGACTGTCTCTCCGTCCACCTTGTGTTTATTTCATTAATGCGGATACACCTATTGACCACAGGAGGGAGCTGAGGAACACCTATTCACAAGTTTATTAGACACTTTTTCTTGAGGATGAAGATGTTTTAAAATGCATCCTCAAAGCCTTCTGATTCAGGGATTGAATTTTGACATTAAACTATTAAAATAATAATTTTAAGCGTGTTTAACCTACAACACGACTCGTGTGTTATAAACTGTAGCGCAGTTCTCCATCCGCTCCACTAGGCGGCGCGCATTGCTTTACGTTCCATCTGACCCGCAGCTTCAGGTGTTTGACAGCATGAGGCTTGATGATACAAAACATAAACACAAATCCTGACAGCTCCGTGATTTCATCATAATATCTCTAAACAGCACATAAACAACCCGAACCGTAAAGTGCAGGAACACAGTGACAATACAGTGACCTGTAAGTAACGTTCATATTGTTTGTTTGTTTGTTTGTTTGGATGAATGTTTCTTCTGAACTCTCTTGGCTGGGCAGGTCAGTTTATTTAAATAAACATATGTAAGTCACAATATTGTCATTTTAATGAGGTTATTTTTACAATGCTTCTTTTATTTGACAACATGAGCATGTATTAATGCAGTCTGGTCTTTCATGGAGGTTTATCACAGACTTTTCTGACATGATGCTCTATTGCCGCTCTAGATGATATTCTCTTGCTATTATTAGTATTTGTGTGTGTGTTGACTGTGTATATTGGTGTTGTGTAGATCTAAAGTGTTATAATATTTTGATATTACATTTAAAATTGTCTTAAATAGTTTTATTACTATTATATATTGAATTAATTTAGTTATTTCCTTTTCATACAATATGATTTGTACTGCAAAAACAGAACAATCAATAGCATTTGTCTTGTTCTTGTGTATGTTGTAGGCTTGCTATAGCTGAAACACAGAGACAGTTTGAAGGCCATAGCCTTGACTTCAGGTTATCGCTAGACAGAATGAAGTGGAGGACCCTTCATACACCAGACAGCAGGAGGGATTCATTAACTCACCTCGACTTGAACAGCATGTGAGTCACACAGTCTTCATTCTTTTAGAAATGAGTTCCTGCTGTTTGTTTTATTATTTGAAGACTTTTAATTATTAATATATTGTGATATGATTTTATTAAAATATGTGACAGACTTTTATAGTTATTTATAGTCAGTATATTTTAATAGGTTGTAATTATTTCAATTTACTTGAATGAATTTTATGTTTTAATTGTTTTCATATTCTTAATTCTGCTTTAATATACAATTTTGACAAATTAAAAAAGTAATTTAATATTAGAAAAAAGTTTTGAAACTTAAAATTAGAAATTCCGGTTGAAAGACGTAAGATTTATATATTATTTTTATATTATTAATTGTTAATATATGCAGATACTAATTGTTATTTTATTGAAATGGTTTATTGTGTTAATTTTTTTTTTAAACGGCGGCACACGTGGGTAACCTCAAAATAACGAAAAGAACAGATCATTGTATGTCCAGTGATGGCCTAGTGGTCAGAGCAAAGGGTTAGAGATCCAAGGCCATCACATGAGATGAGGATTCGAATCACCACGCTGATACTGAAATTTTCTATAAAGTTCATTTTAGGCCGTTTTTGGGTTCAAAAAAAAATTTTTCCTCCTCTGCTTCTCCTCCTCCCACCAGTCCTCGTCTCTCGCTCGTCTCTACGCCACCCTTTTCTCAGTCACGCTCCTCTCATCCTTGTCACGCCCATCTCTCAGTCCGACTTTCACCACCGTGTTTCAGTTTCTCTTGTCCGCGCAACCATTCTGTGTTACCGCCCCAGTTTGTTTCCAGTGTCCGCCGCTTGTGTCTCACCGCTCCAGATTGTTTCCAGTAACCGCCGCATATGTTGTACCGCCCCAGGTACTTTGCTGTATTCACAGCTGTGTTTGGTGGGATTCGAACCCATGCCTCATTCGTAACCTTGTCTGCAACCAACGGTGTTTGCCACTAGTGCCATCGTGACTTTCACACTGAGAACTGAACTTCGCGCAATTTTGTCTTTTTTCTGACAACAGTTAAACATAAACATGAGTGGGTTTCGAACCCCGGTCTCCAAGATGAAAGCTGAGGTCTTTATCCACTGACCCATTGGGCCTGTGTAGTTAGTTTGTGTCCCAAACAGAGTTTTATTTATATGTGTATTGTTAATGCAGAAAAATTGTGTCACAGGTGGGATTTGAACCTATGCTTTCTTGTTTGATATGCAATTATTCAACCACTAGACCACAGAGGTTGCTGACTTAATCAGGATTTTTTTTGTTTTTAGCTAAAGATTTGAATGCAGTTATGACGTAAAGTTTGCAAGAGTGGGATTCGAACTCACACCTCTGTGAGAATAGTCAAATTGCAAATGTTTATTCACTGTGCCACAGAGGCGGTGACCATAAATATTGTTTGCTGTCAGAGTAATGCTTATTGTTACTACAGCGAAAGCATTGGTTTCAACACTCTTCCCTTTAGCAATAGTGGGATTCGAACCCCTGACTCTGCACTATAAAACATGCAAAGAATAAGAAATTAGCCTCTGCGCCACAGAGCTACTGATGATCAATCTGTTTGTTTTCAAAGTGATGCTTGTGTTTACGTCAGCTTGAGCAATAAGTTAAGTACATTTCACATTAGCAAGAGTCAAATACGAACCCACGACCCTGCGCTATTCATATACAAAGAGCAAATAAATATTCTTTGTGCCACAGAGGCACAGATGACTGAAAGGTGTTTGTTTTCAGAGTGATTCTTTTTTTTACTGAAGCTTAAGCATTACTTACAATACATTTTACTTTAGCAAGAGTGGGATTCAAACCCACATCTCTGCATTATAAAACATGCAATAGGCGAATGGTTATCCTCTGCACCACAGAGACAGCACTTGTGTAATGTATTTGTTTTCACAGTAATTCTTGATTTCACCTGGGCTTTAGCATTGATTTACAAACATCTGATATTAGCAAGAGTGGGATTTGAACCCACGTCTCTGCATTATAGAAGATGCCAAGAGTGAATGATTATCATCTGTACCACAGAATTAGTAGCAATTGTACTTGTGCGATTTAACTATAAGTAATTTAAATTCATCAGTACAGCTGCAGCATTGATTACAATATATTTAGGGTTAATGGGAGTGTGATCCAAGCTCATGATTTAGTGGTTCAAGTGCTTAAGCGCTAGTTTTGCAATCTGGGAGACCGGGGTTCAATACCACCTTTGCTAATGTTGTGTTTAAGAAGAAAAAACAAACGACACATAACAGCTGTCATCAACCCGTAACAAACATTGTGGTGCAGAGGAAAATAATTCACTCCTCATATCTATAATCAGAGTCGTATTCAGTCGTTTGAGTGTATTTATTGTGCAAGTGGAAAACTCCATAATTGTGGATTGTTTTTTAGGAGTTTCATGTTGTCAACAATTATACCACAGAGTTTGTGATGGTTCATGAGGTCTGTCAATCACATTAAAAAGTGGGACATTTTAAATGATTATAAACTGTCACATGCACTAATAATTGAAAACATGGTCAAATAAGTTTACTGAAGTGAATAATGAAAACCAAAAATACTTTTAAATCACCTTTTATTAACTCAAACTCACAGTGAAACACATACACGATTTGTAAAAGCATCATCAGTTTAGTCAAATCAATCTTTTATTATCATCATCTGAATTACAGAGTTTGTCACACATTTGCCTTGAAGCTTCTCGTTTGCTGAAAGTCCTTAATTAAAAGCCTCAGGTGTTTTCATCAGGTTGGAGCTTCACTCTGGAAAGTGGATCTTCAGGATCAGGATTTCTCCTAATGGAAAAAATGTCTTAGTAATTCAGTTTCAAGTATTAATGCAGATCCACTTATTGTCCACAAGATGGAGCTGAAACTCTGATCTGACCCTAATGCATCTTTCTGTAATAAATAAAGCTGATGTTATAAACGCAAACAAATGATTAATATTCATTATATAACACAGACTTTATTTGTCTAAACATGTCGTATGCATTCAGTAATCAGTCAAAGTTTACAACAAATGCTGCTTAAATCTGCCAACAGTAATTCAGCAACTTAAATTAGTCAACCAAGTGATTAACATCATCAAAGACAAAAGTGAAACAAACTTGACACGAAGACACATTAAAAGAGTACTAGAAGATATTTTGTCCAGTTTTGATGCGTTCACTCAACATGATTCTGCTCCTGAATAAACAAATCAGAGATTAGTTTGATTAGATGCCAATTTATGAATATGAATCTCCAATTCTCACACTTATGTCTCGTCAAATTATTTTGCCCAGAGCACAAAGTAATGGAGTATTGCCAGCAAACGCAGTTCTCCATCAGGTCCACTAGGCGGCGTATGCGTCTCAGCTTCATGACGGTCGCCTGTTGCCACGACAACACCAAAACCGTTTAACCGACACATCCTGCAATGACAAGATCAATAAGAAAATCTATATTATTGTCAAAATCAGTCAAAGCCAGATATTTCAGCACAACAGCAAATAACACTGACACACACAGTCCAGATAACATGCTGGAATCACCTGTCACGCAGCTCAATGGTACGTAACTTTATTAATTAATAGTGCTTTTCAGAAATAATACTATAGTAATTTATAGTAAACACTGTGGTGTTTTTAAACAGAATAGTAAAGTTTATTATACTGAATATATTATTTACAGCAAACTATAGCATTAACTATAGTGATCTGATAAACTGTAACAAACACTGTCGTCCACTTTAATTTTTACTACAGTAAACTGGTGTATAGTAGTGTAATTTACCTGATAGTTGTAGAGAATGTGCTGAGTTAATCTTAGTACAGGGTCACTCGTTTATATCTGGCTGTTGTATTATCATATAAACTTTAAAATTACTGCAGCAGATTAATTCAGTTTACTATAATATGGTTCAAAAACACCACAGTATTTATTCACTGTAATCATCTGATTTTTCATGTTAGTTTTGTTTTGCTTAGTAAATTTGAGTTATTTTATCAATATAGCAGGCTTCGTTTCCTAAATTGTATCAGACTTCCTGAAAGTCACCAATAACAGTTGGTCAGGATAACTAATTTACTCTCATTTGTTGTGATGATTGAAAGTCAGGTTTACTCCACCAGAGTAGGGGTCCTTCTGTGTAGATCAGTGGTAGGGTTGCACCAGCTGTCGGTATGCTATTGCTTAAACTGGAACATAAAGTGCACACTAGAGGCTTAGTAACCACTAGCTAGTTCGTAACTAAATTTGTTCTTACTTCGGTTGCACCACATGCTCTTAAAGGCAGAACATAGTTAGTAGGCCGTAAGCTCTCGATAAAGTAATGCGCAGTCGCATTGAATGACGTAATATCCAATAAAAAGCCTTTAAATCGTTAAACTGCTAAACTCAAAAATATTTAGTGGTGTGTAACTTACTGTCCATTTATGTCACAACCAGGCTGTTTTAACTCTCATGCACTGCTGGTACAATCAACCCCAAATCTTGAGTTAAACACTTTAATAAACAAAGGTAAAACACTGGTGTTTCATCGTCAGTATTATTTGCAAAAATTAAAATGCTCTAAGGCACAACATCTTTATTTAAAATCGAGAAGAAAGGTCAATATCAGCAGTTATTCACAGATTAAGCTGTAACTGAACATTACAAATGCAAAGAAACCAATAATTGCAGCTGGTGTTTCAATGCTGTGCTGTAGCTGTGCTTTAACTGTTATATACTGCATGAAATGAAGTCAGTTTATGCGTCTCTTCTACAAAATAAAGGACGTGTTTGGGTCATACGGTCAACAAAAGCAGAGCTGTGGGACGTGTGGATAGACAGTCCCTGTAATGAAGGACATCCACTCATGGACAGGTAAGATACTGTTATGAAGCAAACACATAGACCACTATCAATTTCATGTCGAAGGTCAAAATAAAGTGGCGCAACTGAACATGTTCAGACATTCATTGATGATTTAACACATCGATCTGATCTTGTGCATCTGTTATTTGAAGATGTAAATGTGTTTAGTCATTAGCTCACTCAGACTTTAATGATCATTCACTGAAAAGTGCACAAATAACTAATCAAGATTTACCGTAAATGCATGATGAATGATCAGTCCTCATGAAGTTTGGCTGTGGTTTAACCTGTGCTGGAAATGAATGGTCATCACAGGTCTGTAAAAGCCAGAGACTCATCCATCCTGAACCATCCAGAGACTCAGAGCTTTACATCTTCATTACTGAAGCAGAGGAAGAGGCGTTCAGTAAAAACTCTTGAGTCGAGATCTTCATGAAGAACAAAAGTGAAATGATATTTAACTTAATTCTTCATACTTTAACTTAACACTGATTTATAAAGCACACGCTGCAGCCTGTACAACTGAACTGAATGAACATGTATGAAGTGACAATGACATTTAACAGTTTTTGGAGATAGAAACATTTGTTTGAATGGATAGTGTGAATTAAATGTGTGATGAACAAGTTTTAATAATAAAATATATATTTTGAACAATCTGAGTTTAATGTTTCTTTCACATTGGGAAGTGCTCAACATGAAACCAGCTAAAATAATGAGATTGCCAGAGAATTAGTAAGAGTTTAAATGGTTATAATGCAAATTGCTCTGGTTTTAATCTCTGGAAATCTCCTTTTAGTGAAAGCAGTGCTGAAATGTCCATATATGAACACCTGAGATTATAGAGAATGTATTTAAACATATACGCACATATTTTAATTACTTTATATTTTTAAATTATATATTTTTTATTTTTATACATTAGTTATATTTGTAAACAAACATGTTTCAAATGTGATATTTTATATATGTGAAATTTTAACATGATCTTGAATGTCATATGTGTCATTTTCATGCATTGCCATGTCAGATTTCTATAAGGGATTGGTGTGGTGGTAACTGGATGGTAAAAGCACAAAATCCTGCTGCTCTGGAATTGTTTGCAGACTCCAGCAGTATTGATATAAACGCTGTTTGATTCTGCAAACAAGACACAGCAAAACACTTTAACTGTGAACAACAGCGGCGCACGTGCATGTAAATAAATCAAGTCAAACGCGCATCTACTTTACCCAGAGTCTCGGAGGATTGTCCATTCATATCTGCCAGTGTTTACATGAGCTTTCCAGTTCACCTGTTTTACTCCATCAGGTTAAAGCTGATCTCGATCTTCTGCTGGCCGAGACAATCACAAAGTCAAATGTGTTGTAAAATATCCTGGAATATCATAGAAATCCCCTTAATCTGTATTCAGTGTTCACTCGACTGACTGTGCGTCCACCCTGTGCGTGTTTATTTCATTAATGCGGATACACCTATTGACCACAGGAGGGAGCTGAGGAACACCTATTCACAAGTTTATTAGACACTTTTTCTTGAGGGTGAACATGTTTTAAACTGCATCCTCAAAGCCTTCTGAGTCAGTGATTGGAATTTGACATTAAACTATTAAAATAATAATTTTAAGCGTGTTTAACCTACAACACGACTCGTGTGTTATAAACTGTAGCGCAGTTCTCCATCCGCTCCACTAGGCGGCGCGCATTGCTTTACGTTCAGTCTGACCCGCAGCTTCAGGTGTTTGACAGCATGAGGCTTAATGATACAAATGATAAACACAAACCCTGACAGCTCCATGATTTCATTATAATATCTCTAAACAGCACATAAACAACCCGAACCGTAAAGTGCAGGAACACAGTGACAATACAGTGACCTGTAAGTAACGTTCATATTGTTTGTTTGTTTGTTTGTTTGGATGAATGTTTCTTCTGAACTCTCTTGGCTGGGCAGGTCAGTTTATTTAAGTAAACATATGTAAGTCACAATATTGTCATTTTAATGAGGTTATTTTTACAATGTTTCTTTTATTTGACAACATGAGCATGTATTAATGCAGTCTGGTCCTTCATGGAGGTTTATCACAGACTTTTCTGACATGATGCTCTATTGCTGCTCTAGATGATATTCTCTTGCTGTTATTAGTATTTGTGTGTGTGTTGTCTGTGTATATTGGTGTTGTGTAGATCTAAAGTGTTATAATATTTTGATATTACATTTAAAATTGTCTTAAATAGTTTTATTATTATTATATATTGAATTAATTTAGCTATTTCCTTTTCATACAATATGGTTTATACTGCAAAAACAGAACAATCAATAGCATTTGTCTTGTTCTTGTGTATGTTGTAGGCTTGCTATAGCTGAAGCACAGAGACAGTTTGAAGGCCATAGCCTTGACTTCAGGTTATCGCTAGACAGAATGAAGTGGAGGACCCTTCATACACCAGACAGCAGGAGGGATTCATTAACTCACCTCGACTTGAACAGCATGTGAGTCACACAGTCTTCATTCTTTTAGAAATGAGTTCCTGCTGTTTGTTTTAATATTTGAAGACTTTTAATTATTAATATATTGTGATATGATTTTATTAAAATATGTGACAGACTTTTATAGTTATTTATAGTCAGTATATTTTAATAGGTTGTAATTATTTTAATTTACTTGAATGATTTTTATGTTTTAATTGTTTTCATATTCTTAATTCTGCTTTAATATACAATTTTGACAAATTAAAAAAGTAATTTAATATTAGAAAAAAGTTTTGAAACTTAAAATTAGAAATTCCGGTTGAAAGACGTAAGATTTATATATTATTTCTATATTATTAATTGTTAATATATGCAGATACTAATTGTTATTTTATTGAAATGGTTTATTGTGTTAATTTTTTTTTAAATGGTGGCACACGTGGGTAACATCAAAATAACGAAAAGAACAGATCAATGTATGTCCAGTGATGGCCTAGTGGTCAGAGCAAAGGGTTAGAGATCCAAGGCCATCACATGAGATGAGGGTTCGAATCACCACGCTGATACTAAAACTTTCTATAAAGTTCATTTTAGGCCGTTTTTGGGTTAAAAAAAAAAATTTTTCCTCTTCTGCTTCTCCTCCTCCCACCAGGTCTCCTTCTCCCACCACTCCTCCTCCTCGTCTCTCTACTCCACCCTTTTCTCAGCCACGCCTCTCTCATCCTTGTCACGCCCATTTTTCAGTCAGACTTTCACCATCGCAGTTATGTTTCTAGTCCGTGTTTCAGTTTCTTTTGTCCGCGCAACCATTCTGTGTTACCGCCCCAGTTTGTTTCCAGTGTCCGCCTCTTGTGTCTTACCGCCCCAGGTTGTTTCCGGTAACCGCCTCTTATGTTGTACCGCCCCAGGTATTTTGCTGTATTCACAGCTGTGTTTGGTGGGATTCAAACCCATGCCTCATTCGTAACCTTGTCCGCAACCAACGGTGTTTGCCACTAGTGCCATCGTGACTTTCACACTGAGAGCTGAACTTCGCGCAATTTTGTCTTTTTTCTGACAACAGTTAAACATAAACATGAGTGGGATTCGAACCCCGGTCTCCAAGATGAAAGCTGAGGTCGTTATCCACTGACCCATTGGGCCTGTGTAGTTAATTTGTGTCCCAAACAGAGTTTTATTTATATGTTTATTGTTAATGCAGAAAAATCATAGCACAGGTGGGATTTGAACCTATGCTTTCTTGTTTGATATGCATTTATTCAACCACTAGACCACAGAGGTTACTGGATTAATTAGGAATTTTTTTGTTTTTAGCTAAAGGTTTGACTGCAGTTATGACGTAAAGTTTGCAAGAGTGGGATTCGAACCCACACCTCTGCGAGAATAGTCAAAGTGCTAATGTTTATTCACTGTGCCACAGAGGCAGTGACCATAAATATAGTTTGCTGTCAGAGTATTGCTTATTGTTACTACAGCGAAAGCATTGGTTTCAACACTCTTCCCTTTAGCAATAGTGGGATTCGAACCCCTGACTCTGCACTATAATACATGCAAAGAATAAGAAATTAGCCTCTGCGCCACAGAGCTAGTGATGATCAATCTGTTTGTTTTCAAAGTGATGCTTGTGTTTACGTCAGCTTGAGCAATAAGTTAAATACATTTCACATTAGCAAGAGTCAAATACGAACCCACGACCCTGCGCTAATCATATACAAAGAGCAAATAAATATTCTTTGTGCCACAGAGGCACAGATGACTGAAAGGTGTTTGTTTTCAGAGTGATTCTTTTTTTTACTGAAGCTTAAGCATTATTTACAATACATTTTACTTTAGCAAGAGTGGGATTCAAACCCACATCTCTGCATTATAAAACATGCAATAGGCGAATGGTTATCCTCTGCACCACAGAGACAGCACTTGTGTAATGTATTTGTTTTCACAGTAATTCTTGATTTCACCTGGGCTTTAGCATTGATTTACATACGTCTTATATTAGCAAGAGTGGGATTTGAACCCACGTCTCTGCATTATAGAAGATGCCAAGAGTGAATGATTATCATCTGTACCACAGAATTAGTAGCATATGTACTTGTGCGATTTAACTATAAGTAATTTAAATTCATCAGTACAGCTGCAGCATTGATTACAATATATTTAGGGTTAATGGGAGCGTGATCCAAGCTCATGATTTAGTGGTTCAAGTGCTTAAGCGCTAGTTTTGCAATCTGGGAGACCGGGGTTCAATACCACCTTTGCTAATGTTGTGTTTAAGAAGAAAAAACAAACGACACATAACAGCTGTCATCAACCCGTAACAAACATTGTGGTGCAGAGGAAAATAATTCACTCCTCATATCAGTAATCAGAGTCAGTCGAGTTTGAGTGTATTTATTGTGCAAGTGGAAAACTCCATAATTGTGGATTGTTTTTTAGGAGTTTCATGTTGTCAACAATTATACCACAGAGTTTGTGATGGTTCATGAGGTCTGTCAATCACATTAAAAAGTGGGACTTTTTAGATGATTATAAACTGTCACATGCACTAATAATTGAAAACATGGTCAAATAAGTTTACTGAAGTGAATAATGAAAACCAAAAATACTTTTAAATCACTTTTTATTAACTCAAACTCACAGTGAAACACATACACGATTTGTAAAAGCATCATCAGTTTAGTCAAATCAATCTTTTATTATCATCATCTGAATTACAGAGTTTGTCACACATTTGCCTTGAAGCTTCTCGTTTGCTGAAAGTCCTTAATTAAAAGCCTCAGGTGTTTTCATCAGGTTGGAGCTTCACTCTGGAAAGTGGATCTTCAGGATCAGGATTTCTCCTAATGGAAAAAATGTCTTAGTAATTCAGTTTCAAGTATTAATGCAGATCCACTTATTGTCCACAAGATGGAGCTGAAACACTGATCTGACCCTAATGCATCTTTCTGTAATAAATAAAGCTTATGTTATAAACGCAAACAAATGATTAATATTCATTATATAACACAGACTTTATTTGTCGAAACATGTCGTATGCATTCAGTAATCAGTCAAAGTTTACTACAAATGCTGCTTAAATCTGCCAACAGTGATTCAGCAACTTAAATTAGTCAACCAAGTGATTAACATCATCAAAGACAAAAGTGAAACAAACTTGACACGAAGACACATTAAAAGAGTACTAGAAGATATTTTGTCCAGTTTTGATGCGTTCACTCAACATGATTCTGCTCCTGAATAAATAAATCAGAGATTAGTTTGATTAGATGCCAATTTATGAATATGAATCTCCAATTCTCACACTTATGTCTCGTCAAATTATTTTGCCCAGAGCACAAAGTAATGGAGTATTGCCAGCAAACGCAGTTCTCCATCAGGTCCACTAGGCGGCGTATGCGTCTCAGCTTCATGACGGTCGCCTGTTGCCACGACAACACCAAAACCGTTTAACCGACACATCCTGCAATGACAAGATCAATAAGAAAATCTATATTATTGTCAAAATCAGTCAAAGCCAGATATTTCAGCACAACAGCAAATAACACTGACACACACAGTCCAGATAACATGCTGGAATCACCTGTCACGCAGCTCAATGGTACGTAACTTTATTAATTAATAGTGCTTTTCAGAAATAATACTATAGTAATTTATAGTAAACACTGTGGTGTTTTTAAACAGAATAGTAAAGTTTATTATACTGAATATATTATTTACAGCAAACTATAGCATTAACTATAGTGATCTGATAAACTGTAACAAACACTGTCGTCCACTTTAATTTTTACTACAGTAAACTGGTGTATAGTAGTGTAATTTACCTGATAGTTGTAGAGAATGTGCCGAGTTAATCTTAGTACAGGGTCACTCGTTTATATCTGGCTGTTGTATTATCATATAAACTTTAAAATTACTGCAGCAGATTAATTCAGTTTAATATAATATGGTTCAAAAACACCACAGTATTTATTCACTATAAACGTCTGATTTTTCATGTTAGTTTTGTTTTGCTTAGTAAATTTGAGTTATTTTATCAATATAGCAGGCTTCGTTTCCTAAATTGTATCAGACTTCCTGAAAGTCACCAATAACAGTTGGTCAGGATAACTAATTTACTCTCATTTGTTGTGATGATTGAAAGTCAGGTTTACTCCACCAGAGTAGGGGTCCTTCTGTGTAGATCAGTGGTAGGGTTGCACCAGCTGTCGGTATGCTATTGCTTAAACTGGAACATAAAGTGCACACTAGAGGCTTAGTAACCACTAGCTAGTTCCTAACTAAATTTGTTCTTACTTCGGTTGCACCACATGCTCTTAAAGGCAGAACATAGTTAGTAGGCTGTAAGCTCTCGGTAAAGTAATGCGCAGTCGCATTGAATGACGTAATATCCAATAAAAAGCCTTTAAATCGTTAAACTGCTAAACTCAAAAATATTTAGTGGTGTGTAACTTACTGTCCCTTTATGTCCCAACCAGGCTGTTTTAACTCTCATGCACTGCTGGTACAATCAACCCCAAATCTAGAGTTAAACACTTTAATAAACAAAGGTAAAACACTGGTGTTTCATCGTCAGTATTATTTGCAAAAATTAAAATGCTCTAAGGCACAACATCTTTATTTAAAATTGAGAAGAAAGGTCAATATCAGCAGTTATTCACAGATTAAGCTGTAACTGAACATTACAAATGCAAAGAAACCAATAATTGCAGCTGGTGTTTCAATGCTGTGCTGTAGCTGTGCTTTAACTGTTATGAAATGAAGTCAGTTTATGCGTCTCTTCTACAAAATAAAGGACGTGTTTGGGTCATACGGTCAACAAAAGCAGAGCTGTGGGACGTGTGGATAGACAGTCCCTGTAATGAAGGACATCCACTCATGGACAGGTAAGATACTGTTATGAAGCAAACACATAGACCACTATCAATTTCATGTCGAAGGTCAAAATAAAGTGGCGCAACTGAACATGTTCAGACATTCATTGATGATTTAACACATCGATCTGATCTTGTGCATCTGTTATTTGAAGATGTAAATGTGTTTAGTCATTAGCTCACTCAGACTTTAATGATCATTCACTGAAATGTGCCCAAATAACTAATCAAGATTTACCGTAAATGCATGATGAATGATCAGTCCTCATGAAGTTTGACTGTGGTTTAACCTGTGCTGGAAATGAATGGTCATCACAGGTCTGTAGAAGCCAGAGACTCATCCATCCTGAACCATCCAGAGACTCAGAGCTTTACATCTTCATTACTGAAGCAGAGGAAGAGGCGTTCAGTAAAAACTCTTGAGTCGAGATCTTCATGAAGAACAAAAGTGAAATGATATTTAACTTAATTCTTCATACTTTAACTTAACACTGATTTATAAAGCACACGCTGCAGCCTGTACAACTGAACTGAATGAACATGTATGAAGTAGCAATGACATTTAACAGTTTTTGGAGATAGAAACATTTGTTTGAATGGATAGTGTGAATTAAATGTGTGATGAACAAGTTTTAATAATAAAATATATATTTTGAACAATCTAAGTTTAATGTTTCTTTCACATTGGGAAGTGCTCAACATGAAACCAGCTAAAAAATAATGAGATTGCCAGAGAATTAGTAAGAGTTTAAATGGTTATAATGCAAATTGCTCTGGTTTTAATTGAAACTGCAATGTGCTGGTGAGTTTTACTTGTATTGTGTTGCCTCCTATCTTATATAGAGACCTGAGCATATATGAACATATGAGAGAGGATCTGGAGCAGTTCAACCACTCTACCACCAGATGCCCTGAGTTAGACTTCTTAGCTGAAGACACATTGGCAATCTCCTTTTAGTGAAAGCAGTGCTGAAATGTCCATATATGAACACCTGAGATTATAGAGAATGTATTTAAACATATACGCACATATTTTAATTACTTTATATTTTTAAATTATATATTTTTTATTTATATATTAGTTATATTTGTAAACAAACATGTTTCAAATGTGATATTTTATATATGTGAAATTTAAACATGATCTTGAATGTCATATGTGTCATTTTCATGCATTGCCATGTCAGATTTCTATAAGGGATTGGTGTGGTGGTAACTGGATGGTAAAAGCACAAAATCCTGCTGCTCTGGAATTGTTTGCAGACTCCAGCAGTATTGATATAAACGCTGTTTGATTCTGCAAACAAGACACAGCAAAACACTTTAACAGTGATCAACAGCGGCGCACGTGCATGTAAATAAATCAAGTCAAACGCGCATCTACTTTACCCAGAGTCTCGGAGGATTGTCCATTCATCGCTGCCAGTGTTTACATGAGCTTTCCAGTTCACCTGTTTTACTCCATCAGGTTAAAGCTGATCTCGATCTTCTGCTGGCCGAGACAATCACAAAGTCAAATCTGTTGTAAAATATCCTGGAATATCATAGAAATCCCCTTAATCTGTCTTCAGTGTTCACTCGACTGACTGTGCGTCCACCCTGTGCGTGTTTATTTCATTAATGCGGATACACCTATTGACCACAGGAGGGAGCTGAGGATTACCTATTCACAAGTTTATTAGACACTTTTTCTTGAGGGTGAACATGTTTTAAACTGAATCCTCAAAACCTTCTGAGTCAGTGATTGGAATTTGACATTAAACTATTAAAATAATAATTTTAAGCGTGTTTAACCTACAACACGACTCGTGTGTTATAAACTGTAGCGCAGTTCTCCATCCGCTCCACTAGGCGGCGCGCATTGCTTTACGTTCAGTCTGACTCGCAGCTTCAGGTGTTTTGACAGCATGAGGCTTGATGATACAAAACATAAACACAAACCCTGACAGCTCCGTGATTTCATTATAATATCTCTAAACAGCACATAAACAACCCGAACCGTAAAGTGCAGGAACACAGTGACAATACAGTGACCTGTAAGTAACGTTCATATTGTTTGTTTGTTTGTTTGTTTGGATGAATGTTTCTTCTGAACTCTCTTGGCTGGGCAGGTCAGTTTATTTAAATAAACATATGTAAATCACAATATTGTCATTTTAATGAGGTTATTTTTACAATGTTTCTTTTATTTGACAACATGAGCATGTATTAATGCAGTCTGGTCCTTCATGGAGGTTTATCACAGACTTTTCTGACATGATGCTCTATTGCTGCTCTAGATGATATTCTCTTGCTGTTATTAGTATTTGTGTGTGTGTTGTCTGTGTATATTGGTGTTGTGTAGATCTAAAGTGTTATAATATTTTGATATTACATTTAAAATTGTCTTAAATAGTTTTATTATTATTATTTATTGAATTAATTTAGCTATTTCCTTTTCATACAATATGGTTTATACTGCAAAAACAGAACAATCAATAGCATTTGTCTTGTTCTTGTGTATGTTGTAGGCTTGCTATAGCTGAAACACAGAGACAGCTTGAAGGCCATAGCCTTGACTTCAGGTTATCGCTAGACAGAATGAAGTGGAGGACCCTTCATACACCAGACAGCAGGAGGGATTCATTAACTCACCTCGACTTGAACAGCATGTGAGTCACACAGTCTTCATTCTTTTAGAAATGAGTTCCTGCTGTTTGTTTTATTATTTGAAGACTTTTAATTATTAATATATTGTGATATGATTTTATTAAAATATGTGACAGACTTTTATAGTTATTTATAGTCAGTATATTTTAATAGGTTGTAATTATTTCAATTTACTTGAATGAATTTTATGTTTTAATTGTTTTCATATTCTTAATTCTGCTTTAATATACAATTTTGACAAATTAAAAAAGTAATTTAATATTAGAAAAAAGTTTTGAAACTTAAAATTAGAAATTCCGGTTGAAAGACGTAAGATTTATATATTATTTCTATATTATTAATTGTTAATATATGCAGATACTAATTGTTATTTTATTGAAATGGTTTATTGTGTTAATTTTTTTTTTAAATGGCGGCACACGTGGGTAACATCAAAATAACGAAAAGAACAGATCAATGTATGTCCAGTGATGGCCTAGTGGTCAGAGCAAAGGGTTAGAGATCCAAGGCCATCACATGAGATGTGGGTTCGAATCACCACGCTGATACTGAAATTTTCTATAAAGTTCATTTTAGGCCGTTTTTGGGTTCAAAAAAAAATTTTCCTCCTCTGCTTTTCCTCCTCCCACCAGATCTCCTTCTCTCACCACCACTCCTCCTCCTCGTCTTTCTACTCCACCCTTCTCTTGGCCACGCCTCTCTCATCCTTATCACGCTCATCTCTCAGTCCGACACTCACCACCGCAGTTATGTTTCTAGTCCATGTTTCAGTTTCTCTTGTCCGCGCAACCATTCTGTGTTACCGCCCCAGTTTTTTCCAGTGTCCGCCTCTTGTGTCTCACCGCCCCAGGTTGTTTCCAGTAACCGCCTCTTATGTTGTACCGCCCCAGGTACTTTGCTGTTTTCACAGCTGTGTTTGGTGGGATTCGAACCCATGCCTCGTTTGTAACCTTGTCCGCAACCAACGGTGTTTGCCACTAGTGCCATCGTGACTTTCACACTGAGAGCTGAACTTCGTGCAATTTTGTCTTTTTTCTGACAACAGTTAAACATAAACATAAGTGGGATTCGAACCCCGGTCTCCAAGATGAAAGCTGAGGTCTTTATCCACTGACCCATTGGGCCTGTGTAGATAATGTGTGTCCCAAACAGAGTTTTATTGATATGTTTAATGTGTATGCAGAAAAATTGTTGCAAAGGTGGGATTTGAACCTAACCTTTCTTGTTTGATATGCAATCATTCAACCACTAAACCACAGAGGTTGCTGGATTGATGTGTGGAATTTTTTGTTTTTAGCTAAAGGTCAGACTGCAGTTATGACGTAATGTTTGCAAGAGTGGGATTCAAACCCACACCTTTGCGTCATAAAATAGGCAAAGAACAAATGTTTAACCATTGCGCCACAGAGGCAGTGACCATCACGGTGTGTTTGCTCTCAGACTGATGCTTGTTGTTACTACGGCTAAAGCATTGGTTTCAACATTCTTCCCTTTAGCAATAGTGGGTTTCGAACTCCTGACTTTTCACTATAAAACATGCAAAGAACAAGAACTTAGCCACTGCGCCACAGAGCTAGTGTTGATCATTGGGTTTGTTTTCAAAGTGATTATTGTTTTTACTGAAGCTTAAGCATTAATTAAAATACATTTGACTGTAGCAAGAGCGGGATTCGAACCTACAACTCTGCGTTATAATCCATGCTACAGGCGAATAGTTATCCTCTGCACCACAGAGACAGCAGCCATTTTAGTGTCTTTGTTTTCAAAGTGATTCTTGATTATACCTCAGCTCTAGCATTAATTTACAAACATCTCACATTAGCTGGATTTGAACCCACGTCTCTGCATTATAGAAGATGCCAAGAGCGAATGATTATCCTCTACACCACAGAATTAGTAGCGTCTGTAGATGTCAGATTTAAGTATAAGTAATTTAAATTCATCAGTACAGCTGCAGCGTTGATTACAATATATTTAGGGTTAATGGGAGTGGAATTTGATTTCACGATTTAGTGGTACAAGTGTTTAAGCGCTAGTTTTGCAATCGGGGAGACCGGGGTTCAATCCCCACCTCTGCGAATGTTGTGGTTAAGAAAAATAAACATATAACAGCTATAATCAATCCGTTACAAACTTTGTGATGCGGAGGATAACAATTCAGCCTTCATATTTGTAATCAGAGCATGAGTTCAGTATATTTATTGTGCAAGTTGAACACTAGTTTTTTTAGGAGTTTAATTTGGTCAGCGATTATACACTGCACCGCAGACTTTGTGATGGTTCATAGGGATTTGATTTATGGTGTTTTAATGTTTCATTTTCTTTTAATGACATTTCCATGTCAGCAGTACTGGGACTTGAACTCTGGTTTCAGGTACTGGAAGGCACTGACTTATTGCCTGAGCCACTGAAGGACATAAGTATGAGCGTGTTTTTTTGCATATTGCAATTATCAATGTTCAGCAGCTGAACTAATTATGCTGCAGCTGCATTTTAAGTCAGCAATTAAGGGATCTGAACTCCCGATGTGTGTTTTACCCTCTTTGGCCACATGAGTTAATCCATGTTTTTGCACATGGCTAAACTAATCACTAATTTGCACCTGAGCTTGAGATGTTGAAGCGGGCTTTATCTGTAGCACTAATTAAACAAGCTTAACTCAGCTTCAATGATTAATTAAAACAGTGCATCTGGTTGAACTTGCCATGGAATTTGCCAACATTCACCAACTTAAGCTCTTCAAATAAAAAACATGGAAAAGTAACATTTGAACAAAGCATGACTTACACTTAAGTGTGTTTGATGACTGAAAATGACCATCAGGGATTAACTTTTTGTGTAAAACCTTGGTACAAAAAACAATCAACTTACAAATGCACAGTGTATATGTATTTATTCATTACATAAAACCAAATTACACCAGGTTATAACCAAAAATATAAGGTTTTCACCCAATCAAAGAACACTGTTCATTAATTTAGAAAAAAATGAACAAAAAAACAAACAATTTCTCAACAACCGCTGCATGTTTTTAACCAAGTGCTCTTATTCGAGATTGCTTTTCTAATAATTTAAATACAAAATAAGCAATTTCTTCATTAGGAATGTGTACCGTAGATGTATCATGTACAAATATAAAAGCATTGTGGATGGCTTATCTCAAAAACTCTGCTCTTGTCTTTACATTGGCATATAAGTTAAGCTGTGTACAGCATAGAGGGTGCAAACATGTGCACGGACATCCCAGAGTGCTACTGATCGCTAACATATTTGCATCTATAATATGTTTATGTGCATTAATATGGCTCCCAAAGGCAGACTGGCCTGCCCACACAAACGGGGCTTGTAGGAAAATGAATTCTCCTGATTCAAGAATTCAGGTGGGGTTTATGTGGGTTTCCAAAGCTCCCACATAACGATGAACATTCTGCGCTTCCTGTGGTTTTTATAAGGCATTGCTCTGTTTATCACGTCCCACATCGTGAAAGTACAAGTTGGCACAGATACACAGCAGAACGATGGAGCAGAGCATGTAGTAGATCAAGTTGCGGAACTTAGGCTCCAGATCTCCCTGCCTATACCAGTATATCTGAAAGAATGAGAGAGATTGCATTTACTTGCATTGATTTTAATTTTGGTACGATTGAAATAATCAATGCTTTTTTACTTACCAGAACCAACACTGAGCCGCAGACTAGCATGATGCAGATGGCAAAGAATATATTGAGTGGTTTGGGAGGCAGTGAAGGAAAGACGAATGAGCTAATGATGGTCACCTGAAAGAGAGGCTGAGTTTGAGTCAAATATGATAAACAGGTTGACTGATGATATGCTTATATGATGATGTACTAAAATCACAGTTTTCACCAAAAAAAAAACTACATTACATGGATTACACTGTTTCAAAAGCAAATGAAGAACCAAGAACCATTTTTAATTGAAAGTGGTGTTGCATAAATGGCCCCTGAAATTTTCATAAGAGGTAAACACTTACCAGAACAAGTAAAGATGCAAGTCCACCGACTACTAGATTGATGATTCTATCCTGGAGGTGATCAACAGCATTATATTAGTGTACAGTGTAAGCTGTAACAGGAAGTAAGCAATATAACATCACTTTACAGGTGCTTTTCCTTTGGTAAATATACTATTTGTTACATCTACACAACACAGCACCAATGTAATGCTTCAAGAGTATAAAAATGAGTTTGAAAAAAGGAAAATTTAAGTAATTTGCAGATAAAGTTCAGTTATTTATTCTATTTCTCATCAATATTTAAATATGTGACCCTGAACCACAGAATCCCTCATAAGAATGCATTTTTATGGCTATGCAACTGTAATAAGCTTTTCTTACTCTCTCATGCTGCAAAACAGCTTTACTATCTACTGTATTTGGAACCATAACGACATTATTTATTTTAGATTGTGGAAGAAAATTCACCTACGGAAGTGATTATGGCGCCGCCCGGTGGTGAACATAGTTGTATTCAAGACAAAATTCTCCTTCGCAAGTAATTATGGTGCCGCCCGCTGGTGAATGTAGATGTACTCATGACAGGTATTATTTGGTAGTTTGGTAATTTAACTAATTTGGCAACTGGTAAACGATTTGAAAAGGTTTACTATTCCACGTTGTTATTTTGTTGTTTTAATAATAGAGTAAGTAGTGCATTCACACCGAAAAATCGAGTAAAGAATAAGTGCACTTTAAATATCAGAATGATGCACTTATTCAATAGATAATATAAGACGTGTGGGACACTTCATACTCTCACTAATCGCAGTTGATTGTTTATTTTGGATTGTGAAAGCAAAACTCTACAACGCAGGTGATTATGGCACTGCCTGGTGGTGAATGAACGTAACAGGAATTTGGTAGTTTGGTAATTTAACTAATTTGGCAACTGTTAAAACATTGAATGGGAAATGGATTGAAAGGGTTTTTTGCATACATAAAGTGCATCCCAAATCAAATAGTTTTGCACTGTTCTATGACATTTTGTCGTTCAAATAGTTTAAGTAGTGCATTCACACTGAAAATTAAAAATATAATAATAAGTGCACAAAATATCAGAATGAAGCACTTATTCAAGAGATTAAAAAAATACATGTAGGATGTTGGACACTTCAAGCACTCAATAATCGCAGATAGATTAATTATTCTGGATTGTGGATGCAAAATTCTACTACACAAGTGATTTTTAGCGCCGCCCGGTGGTGAATGTAGATGTGCTTTGACAGGTATTATTTGGTAATTTGGTAATTTATTTAACTAATTTGGCAACTGTTAAACATTGACTGGGAAACAATTTAAAAGTTTTTTTTAAATTATATATATATATATATATATATATATATATATATATATATATATATATATATATATATATATATTGATTGAAGGTGCATGACTAAAATCAATTACTTTTGCACTATTCTATGCCATTTTGTCATTTGAAAAGTGTAAGGCACGCATTTACAGCGAAAATTTTAAAATTAGAACTTATTCAACAGATTAAACAAACATGTGGGATGTTGGACACTTCAAGCACTCAATAATCACAGTTGGATTATTTATTTTGGATTGTGGAATCAAAATTCTACTACACAAGTAATTATCGCACTGCGTGGTGATGAATGTAGACGTACTCGTGACGGGTATTATTTGGTAGTTTAGTAATTTATTTAACTAATTTAGCAACTGTTAAACAATGACTGGGAAGTTGTTTGAATTTCTAATTAGTAAAAAAATTTTTGATTTGTGACATTAATATTCATTATAATGTGACATTAAGTGTGTCATTTGGAATGCAACTATATAATATAAACCCTTTTGATAAATGTAAACAATGTCATGACAGCTGTTTTAACCTTTAGATGATGGAATTGCATCTTGTTGCAGTAATGAAATAGTTTAAAAACAACCAGGAAATGTTTATGGGCCAATGACGTCACTAAATTGAAATAGTCTATAGAACTCATAATAAATACAAGCATGCGTTATTAAAAAAATAATAGTAATTAGCGTCTTCTGTAAATTATGATAAATATGTATGCCATTGTTGATGTGATTGCGATAACACAAGACGGGACACATTATAATATATCGAATACATTTTAGTGGAATAAATTATTAGTGTTGTTTCAAATAGCGCTAGAAAAAAGCTTCAATTGTGATTTCATGTTGACTTTTTAAAAGCAAATAAATAAATAAATCGTTGAGTTACCCTGGCCGAGGTCTCTCCGAACAGAGGCCTGTTGTCCATGCCACTGGTGCCATAGGTGCGTGTAGTGAAGTCATCCATGGCCAGAGCGACACATACACACTTCCCTGAGTCCTTCTAGCAGCTGCAGCTCTTCTGGCGTGGAGGATGGCGGTGCATGATCGCGCTTCTCTCCTCACAGCAAGCGATTTACAAGCACATCACACTCATGGTTGGCTACCTGGAGCACACATCACAGCTCATAACATGTTAAAACATTCATTTACATACCTACTGATAATTTCACGCCATATCAATGTAAAAACTCCAGCACTAAATGATCATTTCTGAACTTTGCTCCCTTTTTTCCCAGGAATCCAAAGAGTTTCATTACAATGGGGTTTTCAGAGGAACACAACAAGCTTGTCTTTCTAATAATCAGCCCTGAGGCTTGGCTTGATTCAGACTGCCTGGTTCATGAAACCATAAGCACAGCCTTAAAAATGTGTGATCGGTCATGTGAGCGCTTGATCTTGGCGTCAGCGCTGAGGGAAACAGGGCCTTTGTGCAGTTTATGTGGTTTGTGGCTCGCAACAAAGCCCTGTTTGTTTTTAATTCAACTACGAAGTCACATATAATCATAATATTTAAACAACATTTTGGCTATTTAAGTACATTAGTGATGGTGTCAGTAGAAAGACAGACTCCTCTTATCATTAGTGCTCTTCAGAAGTCATATATGATGGTGCATATGTAATAAAGCTAATATTTGCATTATTAACCTAATATGGCTTTAATACGTTTATAAAACGATAACTTATAGAGGAAAAGCTGGTTTAATATTTGCACAATCATTCAGACACAACTTGTGACATGCTCCTTAGTGTTTTCCATGCTACTTTGTATATTTAGTCTGAAATCACATTTAAATATCAACATTAGCACTATTTAATTGACTGTAAACGATGCTGATTTGATAGTCATTGGTTGCTAATATGACAGAACAGTTTTCTGAAATGATTTTATTAAGGAGAAAGTCTGAATGTGTGAATATAAAACCAACTTCACCTCAATTATAAAACTTACTATCATGTTGCTACAGTACATTACCTTGCAGTATGATGCAAATATTCATCATGATGAAGGTTTGAGGACTCAGAAATCCTAAATATAATTAGTGCAGGAGCACAAATATCTGAGGATGGAAGACGAGAAGGATGACTCTTTTTTGTTGTTGTTGTTTTTAGCTCTGTAACCAAATAAAACAAACGCACTGTTAGTGTCTGGTCATTTGCTTACACTGATTGTTATTAGGGCTGCACTATATATCCGTTTATCATTGATATTGCAATGTGTGAGTCTGCAATAGTCACATCACAAGGCTCTGCAATGTAGTGGTGATTATAGTTGACCAGACTTTATGGTTGACAACATTGTGGAGTCATTTAAACTTATATACAGAAATCAGAGAGAAAAAACCTTTTTAAAGACACCTTATATACATTTTAGGGCATCATCGCCAACTTGCAGTATATTTACTAAACACTGATCGTAAGAAACTTCTCCTAAATTAAAATGTTTTCATATACTGAATAAAAATGAAAATTCTGCAGGTGACGCCTAAAATAACATCAGGAATAATGATGTTTCCTTGGTTGCTGCAGTAAACAAACCAGCTTAATGTCAAATCTAGCCGGATTTTATCGATTTCATCCAAATTAGGGCTGCACAATATATCTTTTTAGCATCGATATCACAATGTGTGCATTCACAATAGTCTCATCACAGAATCTGCAGAGTTAAATTAGGATACTATTTAACCAGGAGCTGCAATTCAGAAGATGAAGTCATTGGAGATATTTAGCGTAGCATACTGAAACAATTTTATACCTTATAAAACAGCATTTAAGACTTTTAAATACATTTTAGAGGCCTTAAATTTCCCTAAATTGACTTATTAATTTTTCATACTTTTTTTAACACCCTGCAGAGACCCTGTAAGAGTGCAGTGAAGTCGTGATTATGGTTGACCAGACATTATCGTTCAAAACATGGTGGAGTAAACTTTTATCTTAGAGTGAAAGTTTAAGCATGTGTTTTAAGGCCTGTGACTGTGTAAGCTTTTCAAGCTAACTTAAGGTATTTGGGTGCAGCAAATTAGATATTTAAAGATTTTAATTGTATATTATGTTAGGGCTGGGCAGTTAAACGATATTATATTGAAATCGCGAGAAAACTTATGTCTATAACAATGATAAGCTCTTGACTTTATATTGATCTAAGAGCCAATCACACAGCAGAAATGTGCAACAATGAGAATCTAAAAGTGTGTTGATATTAGAGATGTACTTAATTTTCAGCCACCATTTAATGGACCATCTATTTTTTGTGGCTACAGTCATTGTTGTGGTACTCTATTAAATCCAGAAGCATTAACAACTTAAATCGAAATGTATATCATTATCATTCAATATAGAAAATAGTTATGAAGCATTTTGCATTTTTTGCCATATCACCCAGCCCTACATTATATAATTATTTACTCAATGAAAATAATGTTATTTATATTATTATTATTATTATATAGTGGTTATTTAGAGTTTCTAAATACTGTTTGACTCATAAATCATTATTTATTTGTATCCGTTTTATTTAACTTTGCTTGTCATTTATAAAATGATATTTACATTTTTATTGTATTACACTATATTTTGCAGATATGCTCGCCGACAGAATCATCCAAATCTATCTAAAATGATGAATTCTTTAAAAGCTATTCAAGTAAATCTGGTAAATATCAGCAATATAAATCGCTATGAATGAAAATATTGAGTTTTTTTTCAATATCATGCAGCCCTATATTGAGTTAAGTTTATAGGTTTATATTCACACATTCAGACTTTCTCCTTAATAATAATAATATTTCAGAGAAGTATTATTTGCAATGTATATATAGGGAAATCATATTAGCAGCCAATGAACATCAATTAAAGCACATTGTTTATAGTAAATGAAATAGTGCTAATGTTGTCTTAAGTCATACTTTCATGTAATTTCAGACCAAATATTCAAAGTAAAATATAGGCAGCATATCATAAGTTGAAGAATGTGCAAATATTAAACCAACTTTACCTCAATCAGCTCTACTTGTTATAGTCACGTTTCTTTTGTTTTTAATATACATATAGTTGCTGATATACCAATAAAACGAGGATGTTCAGTCCAATAATATGACTTTATTATCGTTACTTTGCCTATTCCAGTGTAAGTGAATGAACAGATTTCTGCTAATAATAACATTTGCTCTGATACACAACAAATGATCATCAAAGTTATATTTACTTGACAGATCATTCAAACGCTCACAGCTGAATAAATGCAAACACTCAGATTGTTGATATAGATTAATATTAAGCCATCACAGAGCTAGCAAGCTAATGGGAGTGAAAAGAAGCTGCACAAACGACTACGAAGGAATGGGAGTATAATAAAGTAAACTATAATAACTTACCTTGATGAAGCAAGCGGGGGGATTTATTGATATTCCGATCAGCGTATTATCCGCATGACTTCAAAAGAGCAGCAGTAATGACGGCTCGGTGCATGAAACCGGAAGTGACGTTATCTTAAAGGGACAGCTGGTGTGTATTGTTTATAATAATCGAGGTCGTTTGTTAATGAATACACAGATATCAAATTATGTCTCATTTATTTTATAAGCAACAGTAAATGCACGGAAAAAATGGTAAATCATTGTTTAGATCATGTGGATTCGTTGTGTTCGTGATTATTTAATAAGTATGAACATGGATTTGCCTTAAAACTTAAGAACTAACGGGTTAAGAACAACTTTCCGAAGGTTTTATGAAGGTACAGACCATTTCAATGTGGTGATGTCAATGGCCCATAAACATTTTCTGCTTGTTGTCAAACTATTTCATAACTTTAACAAGAGGCAATTCAAACATAACTTAACATTAAACCAGCTGTCATAACATAACATCAATATGTGGACCTTTTTGGGTCCTCAGAAGCTATGCAAAATAAAAATGTAAAGCAGGAAACACGTTAGGACCATTGTTATTGTTTACATCCCTCAAAATGGTCTATATGACTTTGACTCAAGTAAATATAATGTACTGCATACTTTGAAGTGAACGCAATATGTTTTAAGACCTACAGAAGCCTTAACTAGCCACAGGTTTTGTTTCATTTCCCCTTTACAAGAGCTTTGTAACTGTCTTCACCCAGAGCTGAACTTGTGAAAAACGCACGTGTGTTGATTTATTATGAGTTTTGTTTATTTCCTTTAGTGTATTAGCTCAAACAGTGTGTCTTTTCCATTGAAGTAAAGTAGCTTTAATATTCACACATTCAGACTTTCTCCTTGATCAAAACATTTCATTTCATATTAGCAGTCAATGATTATCAAAGTACAACACTGTTCACGGTCAAATAAATAGTGCTAATGCTATTTTGAAGTGGTACTTGTATGCGATTAGAGGCAGAATATTCAAAGTAGCATGGTAAACAATATAGAAAGCGTGTCACAAGTTGTCTCTGAATGAATGTGCGAATATATAACCAACTTTTCCAGTGGGGTATAAATTAGATGTGTATATATACACACAAACCTATAATAACATATATTGATTTTGCTTCTAGTTAAAGACATAAAACGCTGGCATCTTGTTCATGTTTTAAAAATAAAGCACATGAAACATGTTTATTTAAATCATTTTATAATTAAAAAGATACCATTGCATTAAGTATACAGCAAAACATCATGTGTTTTGCAAAGACAGCATGGCTAAAAATGACAAGTGCAGGAGTGGAGGTTGGATCAGTATGCATACACCTTTACTTTATGCACTTCTCGGTCTTCACACTCTCGCTTTCTGTTGTAGTAGTAGAAAGTGTTGTCTCGACGCTGAAGCTTCTTCACAAAGCCGGTGTCTGGCCAGCGGTCAATCTAAACCAAAGCACAGCAGTTTTCAAAACATTAAGCATCTGAGTCAAACATGAGTTTGCCGTTTTATATAGACCATTTTGAGGGATGTAAACATAAACAATGGTCACAACGTATTTCCTGTATAACATTTTTAATTTCTATAGCTTCCGAGAATCCAAAAAGAGCCACATATTTGATGTTATGTTATGACAGCTGTTTAACATTAGGTTATGATTGAATTGCCTCGTTACAGTTATGAAATAGTTTGATAACAAGCAGGAAATGTTTATGAGCCAATGACATGGCCACACTGAAATGGTCTAAAGCTAGAAAGCACTTTCTAGAATGAATGAATGAATAAATGTTTACATGTTAAATGCTTTAAATCTCACTTTAAGCTGAATACTACCATCATGCCAAACAACTAGATGAATATTATGTACAGTTATCATGGCAAAGACAAAAGAAATCAATCAGAAATGGGTTATTGAAAATATTATGTTTAAAAATGTGTTGGGGAAAAAATCTACCAAACAGAACTTATTTATTAGGAAATATTTGTAAACGTAATATTTTAAAAGTATGAAATATTCACATGAGACTAATAACTCTGTCTTTGACTTTGTGAAACTATACATTGCTACAGTTTCTGTCTTTGTATGAATGCATGCATGTATATTAACTAATTATTAGGCATTCTATAATATAATAATGTATGATATTGTAAGCAGTGTGTACCTCAGCCTGTTTGATCTGTCTGTACTCGAGCTCATCTCTGTATCCTGCTTGCTGAAATCTGTACAGGTTCTCCACCTCACCCGTCCATTGCTTTGCTCTGCTCATAGACTTTGGTTTGGCATTATTATCCAATAAAACTGCGCACGCCATGCTTCCTGTGTATCATAACAAACACATCACACACACACTATTATTCAGCTTTGGAAACAGTGAACAGTTCAGATGCCAACAAACTAAAATGGTCATCTAAAATGAACGATTATGTTCAGTTATTTTAGTTTTAATTCAATAAAAATAACATTTTTACTATACAAGTGAAATGACTAAACACACAAGAGCTTCAGATAAATGACGATTTTAGAGGAAAATAGACGGCACTTCAAATAACGTTAACTTACGCCTTAACCACCGATTCAGTGTTAGTAAGTTACAAAATCTCATAAAACAGCATTTACCACTAGCACATAATTCATGCCTTAATCATCCCAGCACGCCTTAAACTATAGTATTAGTCTATACTTTTATCGATAATAATGTTTAATGCGTACTTACGTCGACGTGTGTGCTTAAAAAGCTGACTTGTCAATAATATCCTCGTGTTAGGCGTCACTGTAACTTAGCAACAGAATTAAAACGGCCAGTCAAAAACAAACCCGGAGTTACACAGCTCTGCTGGACAGTCTGCATGATGATTTCTATAAGCTGCGCTAGAAGAAACGAACTGAATGTGCTCACTTATTTCGAAAAACGATGTATTTATTTTTGCGTCTGTTTACAATTTTAGCGTATGTCGATTTACTTTAGTTTGTCGCGTTATTTTTTAGTGTCGTAATGAGTCTATAGTCCTTTAGATGGCGCTGTCGCATCTCCACTATCAGGTTACAGATGTTTATTTCCGTCTCACGTGATTTTGCAGTGCGATGCCAGCAGGAGGACAGGACAGATGCCGGGCTCTTGCTCTCCAGCCCGGGGAGAGCTCACCCAGTGATGACCTATAGGTTTACCTACTTTGAGTGTTTACTCAGCCTTTCACCATGAGCTCCTTCGCTGGCCGTATGAAGGAGTATCCCAGCATCTCCTTGGACCGCTTTGACAGGGAGAATCTGCACGCCAGAGCTTATTTCCTCTCTCACTGCCATAAAGGTGCATTTATAAGTGATATTGGATATTACATTACTCGAGGACTCCCCAGACAGAGTGAGAGGATAATAGGGTTTGCGTACACTTCTTTTATGACATGTACCTGTGTGTTTACTTGTTTAACAGATCATATGAAAGGGTTGAAAGGACCTTTACTGAAGAGAAAACTCAAGTTCAGGTCAGTGATGCTTCTACATATTGTAAGAGTTTATAAATATAAGTAAAATTTTTGTACATGTTTATAAACTAGTTTATGATAGAACTGTAGAATATATCGTTTCAGCATCGGTATCGCAATGTACACACCCAGAATAGTCACATCCTAACATGTGCAATGTCCACTCATCATTATAGTTGATCACTGATCAGGTACGATAGTTTATCCATAATGTAGTGAAAGTTTTAATGGTTCAATTGTGATTATTATTAAGCATTTCAAGAAAGCATAAAAGCACTAAATTTGTAACGTTTGAAGCTTTAGATTACAAAGATTATTTATTGTTTAATATGATGAAGACTATACAGTGATATTTTGCATGTAGTATTCAAGCTCTGTGCCTGAACACTATATGATGACACTGTTTATTTCATTTTTACTCATGTATTTATCTGTGCTTGTAATTTGGTTAAGTATTATGCAAAATAATCCTAATAGTAGTAATCAACCTAAAATTATGAACCCTTCAAAAAAAAAATCCTAATATTGTGCAGCCCTAGTTTATTACATGTTTAATAGTTTATTACATGTTTAATAGTTTATTACATGTTTGTAAGCTAATAATGATAAAGTAAATACTCACAGTAGAGTTCACACTTTGTTTTTAAACTGGTAATGTAAATAAACGTTCAGAGTACAAATACTAATATATTTATTATATAGCATTAACATGTAGAATTGTAAATGTGATATGTGCTTTATATATTACATTTCTATCATTTTAATATGATATATTGCTGTTATTTGAATTTTAGACAAGCAAGCAATTTAATAGCACTGTTAAATGTCATCTTTATCTACTCCAAGAAAGTTAGAGTATATACCAGGGGTGCCCAAACTCTGTCCTGGAGGGCCGGTGTCCTGCAGAGTTTAGCTTCAACCACAATTAAACACATCTGGACCACCTAATCAAACTATCTAGGTATACTACAAACTTCAAGACTCTGCAGGACATCGGCCCTCCAAGACGGCTTTTGGTCACCCCTGGTATGTACAGAATGTGTCTTAAATATATTCAATTGGAAAATTAAAAACATTGACAACCATTTTCTTTCCTAGTTTAACCGTCAAGCTGTACTGCTCATACGTCACAAAGGAGCTTCTGCTTAGTAACCCCAGATATGCATTCTGGGAAGATCATATCGTAAGTATTACTCTCAGGCATGCAACTTTTCACATGAGTTATTTTGTTAACCTGATATAACAACCTTTATCTTAATTACCAGGTCCCTTTGGAACTTGACAGTCCAACCAGCATATCTCTCATAGATGAAAGCACAGGAGAGGTGTGTGTGTGTGTGTGTTCAGCATCTACTTCACTCTTTTGACCGTTTCTGAGTTGATCTGAAGGGGTGTGTGTTTTCTCTTCAGACAGAGGATGTGGTGGTTACTCTGCTTTCAGCGGGACACTGTCCAGGATCAGTCATGTAAGAAACCTCAGCCAAAATAAGAGCTTAAAGGGATAGTTCACACAAAAACTGTGTTTATTCTGTGTTAAACAAGAGGTTATGATGAAATATTTTTAAATCAGCAATCACTGACTTCAGTAATAGTAAAAAAGACGCCTATGATTACCAGTTTTCAACATTCTTCAAAATATCTTCTTTTGCGTTTACATATTTATAAATATATTTATGAGTGAACTATCCCTTTTATCACTCAGTTTTGATTTATAACGGACAGGTTTCTCTTCGAGGGTGCAAAGGGAACAGTGCTTTACACAGGAGACTTCAGACTGGCTGTCGGAGATGCAGCGAGAATGGAGTACTTGCACTCTGGAGACAGGTTTTCAGATAAAGATTTTTTTAAAATGCCACATTTAGTAGAAAATAATAATATAACACAAGTGTCCATTCTGCAGGGTAAAGGACATTCAGAGTGTGTACATCGACACCACATTCTTTGATCCCAAGTACTATCAGATTCCTAGCAGGGTAAACACACACATACATAGTCTCACCTGCAATCTAATCAGACTGGATGTTTCCATAAAGGTGTTGTTGTGCTGTTTCAGGAGGCTTGTTTGGCTGGGATACAGCAGCTGGTCCAGGACTGGATCTGTCAGAGTCCGTATCATGTTGTTTGGTTAAACTGTAAGGCAGCGTATGGTTATGAGTACCTCTTTACCAACTTAGGACAGGAGTTCAACTCACAGGTGAGAGATAGTGTTTCAACTTTAGTTCTTTCTGCATTTGTGTTAAAAATGAACACAGTTTCTCTGCTGCAGATACATGTGAACAGCTTGGACATGTTTAAAAAAATGCCTGAAATTCTGTGTCACGTGACCACCAACCGTGCAACGCAGATCCACGCTTGTCGCCACCCGAAGGTTTGCTGGGTTTTTGTGTGTAGTTGTGAATGAGTCAGTGTGGATGTAGATCACAGATGTGTTGGTTTTGCACAGGATGAGGAGTTCTTCAGAGCGAACAGGTTACCCTGCGGCTCTACGGCTCCAGATGGCATTCCTCTGAACATCATCAGCATCAAACCCTCCACGATATGGTTTGGAGAACGGACCAGAAAGACTTCAGTTGTGGTGAAGTGGGTCACGATGGAGCAATAATATTCTGGTTGCAGATAATCGTTTTTATGATTAAAAAATAAATAAAACTAATATCAAGGTGTTGTAATAAATTAATAAACCGTAAATTACACATAAATTGTTATTAAGATTAAAACCACTTAAAATTTCAAGCACATTCAAAGATCAAAAATCTGAATTTAAATAAAAAAAGCTGCATAAATTGCACAGTTTAAAAAGCTTTTATGTGTAAATATATTATAAATATTACATTGTATAATTTATTTTATGCTAGTATTTGTAATTATATCATATTTGTTTTACAAATGTAAACCATTTGGGCAGTAGAAATGATTTCACAAAGAATAATTGAGTAATTATTTCTACAGTGAACACTATAGTAGTCAACATTTTAAGTGGATCACAAAAGTTTTTCAAATTTGTCGTGAGACAAGAATGGATGTTGTTGAATTCTTTTATGAAAGGTTTGATTGTTATTTAACATTTAATCTTTTAATTTCTGTGCCTCAATACTGTTAGACTCTCCAGAACACCATAAAGCACAGTTTATTTCATTTGTATCCTTGTTTTTATTAATTTATGCTTGTAATATGTTTATTATATTTGATGCAGGTTCAAAATCATCACAGTCAATATAGAATGATGAATTCTTTCCAAATAGGGTTTTTCGTCAGATTGTGAAATTCTATTTATATATATATTTTTATATATTCTCAGACTAATTATAAACAAACAAAATATTGCAATGTCAAATTTTTCCAATTTCGTGCAGCGCTAAAGTATATAGCTGATATATTACTCAATATAAAAACATAATTATTTTATTACCATTTATATATATATGTTTACATTATATTATATATTATAGTATACAGCTATACATTATATATTCTACTTGTATTCTATTTTTACATAGAAAAATAAGATGCATGTGCTGTTGAAACATTTAAAATGTCAACTAATTATTAAAAGTAAAATAATTGTTTATAATGTATTTATTTGTAATTCCAACGCGTGTCTAAATGATTGCATCATTTAATTGTATTAAATTCTCATATAAAATATTCTTTGTGTTTTTTTTTTAGGATGGGTAGCAGTTCCTACAGAGCATGCTTTTCTTTTCATTCCTCATACTTGGAGGTAAAAAATACTTGATTTAAATTGTATTCTTATTACCTGATACAAACATGAGTATATAGTAAGCCCTTGCTTATTTCCTGTGATTAGGTTAAGGACTTCCTGTCTTACATCTGTCCTGTTAACATCTACCCAAACGTCATTCCCTTGGGCAAGACTGTGGAGGACCTCACAGAGCTGTAAGAACTGAACTTTCTTTTGTACAGTATTTTATCATCTAGTGTCAATAAACACTCAGTTTTTAAATTCAGGTTGAAGCCACTGTGTAGAAAACATTGTGGACGAGAGGAGATTGTCTATAAACCACTCGGGGCTCTCAAGAGAACGAGAAAGAGAAGCACATCAGAAGGTAAGAGTAGTTTTGTCCTCCAAGTCTCGAGTTATTCCAGTCTAACCCTTCTGCACAAATCAAGGCCACAAAGATATTGAATCAATTGCCATAATGTCAGGCTTGAAATGATCCAATAAAACTGACACAATCCTTACTGTTCAGATCACAAGTGCACAGGAAGCCCCTTGAGCTGAAATTCAGATATGGTAAGGGATGTTTGATCATGAAAGACTTGGCATTTCAACCAATCAGAGCAGAGAAGGCTCTCTGAAAGATCCTTAGAGGCCTATGCATCTAAATACACAAAAAGCACAATAAGCACCTCCTCTGCCGTGGTAACATCAAATAAAACTTGCTACTGTAAACAAGCTCACAACATTTGCTCCGCCTCAGAGTTCTTCTGATTGGTTCACTGATTTGGAGCTGACATTGATGAGCGACGCTGTATGTAACAGTTGAAACTGTCAACTTGACAGGGCGTCTTAAATAAATGGCGTTCATGTGTGACGCGCTGCCAGAGACCAAGCTTAATGGTCACATACGGTCATCAATGCATGTTTACATTGGAAAAACGAAGGAGAACTAGTGCACAGGAATGGAAAAATGCATTCTGTGTAAATGACCCCTTAAACTGTTTCAGACACAGAGAAAAACAGAGGCTGCAGTGTATGGTTTGAGGAGAATGTGTGCGTTTTTTACTTTGAATGCTTGTAAATCTTTAAAATGGTTAATATTTGCCCTCTAATTCCATTAAGGCTCAGACAGTGATGGCGACCTGTTTGAGGAGGTTTCAACAGCTCCAAGGCGGCGCAAGATTACAGTGTCTGACCTGACCACAGTTGCCATAAGAGTACGGCCTCACAGCGCTAATGCAGACTCGCACGATAATGACCAAACATATTCCCTCATAAAGCTTTGTCCGTCTGCACACACATCCAACTATATGGACTGCACTGAATCAAACGATGATGATGATGATGAAGATGATGCAGCCGAACAAACTCCTGCTGCAGCTCCTCCTCCATCTTCCACAGAAAAGCCATGTTCAAAACACACTCATTCAGACTCCTCACTAACCAGTTCTACTCAGCCCTGTTGGGAAAAGTTCTTCAAGGCAGAAGTGGTGCTGACGGACGAGAGTGAGTTGGAGAACAGTCAGAACACACAAACGCTCTCCACTGAAAACACAGCGTCTCAATCACCAGAGCTCTTTCAGGATGAAGATGAAGACAGCTCCGTTCACATGAGCTCCTCTCAGTCTACTCATATATCAGACGCAGGGACTGAAAGCCTGAGTCAAGTAGACACGATCATGGTTCAAGAGGACCACAGTAAGGCCTGTAACCTCCAACACAAGACTGAAGAAGCAGCGGAGCTCAAATCAGACTCGCAAGTTTCATCTGACTTTGAGCTTCCACCGACTCCAGGATCTAAAGTCCCACAGCCTGAAGACCTGAAGGAGCTGTACAGGAAGTTGGCAGCAGGAGAGGACGTTGTTGCAAGACAGATTTTTTGAGTGCTAATTTTTTTGGGGGGTTTGTTTCCCAACCCTGTTCCTGAAGGCACACCAACAGTACACATTTTCAACCTCTCCCTAATCAAACACACCTGAATCAACTCATCAGAACATTAGAAGAGACTCAAAACCTGAAGTTAATGGATCAGATAAGGGAGACATCTAAAATATGTACTGTTGGTGTTCCTCCAGGAACAGGGTTGGGAAACACTATGTTAGACAACACTTTACCTCATGCAGTTTTGTACCTTTTGCAGTTTTGTAAAAGCTCAGTGCTTTAAGCAAATTAATTAAAAGTCTGAAGGAAATGTTTTCAGTCTTACGATTAAATAAGATCATTTCAACTGAACAACATTTGGTTTTGTGATTGTTTTGGAACATGCGTCTCACACTGGATTCCTGGAGGGCTGCATGAATTGCACAGTTTTGCTCCAACCACAGTCACCACAATCAAACACAGCTGATGCAACTAATCAAGGTGTTCAACGCTACTGGACACTATTACACAGGTGTGAGTTGGAGGTGGATGGAGCTGAACTATGCAGAGCTTCTGGATTCCCTCCTGGAATTGAGTTTGAGACCACTGATATAGAACTTCAGATTGAGTTGCCTATGGGAGAAATGACTAGGAATAATAAAATGGTCAAACTACTTCCTCTACAAACTAACATTTTCGTACTGTACGGACAAAGTAGAATAAAATAATGAGAAATCATCAGTTTGCAACATCAACCAGCATAATGAGCTGTTTTAATGCCTAAAAATTCATTTAAATGAATGAGACCAGAAGTCTTGAGCCAAACAGATTCAAATGGCAGCGCTGGCCTGTACAACAAGAATAAGGTCAATAAAGCTGAAATGAAATATAGTAGCTGAGAAATTTGTAATGGAGTATTGCAATAGCGACTAATTGAAATCTATTTTAAGATTAGGTGTAGAAGACACCAATGCACTAAAAACTGAACGGATTTTCGTTTGCAGTTTTAAAATATTTTTAGTATAAATAACAAGAAATTGTGTGTTTGTATTGCAGCGCTACATTCACATTATGTCTAAATTACATGACGACTAAAAGTGTACTCTTACTAGGCACGGTTGCCTTGAACTGTGCCGAAGGGTGCTTGTGCCCTCTCCCCTCTCTCCTGATGGCTCGCACTCACACTGCATTTTCACCTTCCAAACAGGAGCACGCTTACATCATCGATGATGCGACTGTTCAGTTTAACAGAAAGAGAAGCGCTCTCACTCAGCACAGTGAAGATTGCTCGAGTTATATCCTTTTGGATTATTTTTAGTCGTTTGGGATGCAGCGACACGCAGTCAAATATTTTGCGGAACAGATCCACCATTTTGACACTCATGCATTTTCATAAAAGTCCCTGTGCTGGAGGTATTAGGAAGTTTGCTAAAGGTGCAGCTGTGGTGCAGTGAGGGGTTTGCGTCTTTAATAAACTACGACAGTTTGCGTTCATTAAACAGTAAGAATGATTAATAACTCCATATAAATCAGTCCCTTAAAAGTGACATTGCATCTTCAGTTTTGGGCTCAGGCATGCTTTGCACTCACACTACAATCGTACCGCACCAAAGCCCAACCGAACCGCACTTTGGCACACCTCTTGTAACTGAGCAAGGCTCAAACCACGCTTGGGCTCGATTCAGAGCACTCACTGACTGGTAGTCAAATGAACCAGGTAATGTGCCCCCGCACTGTGAGGATAGCTTAGTGTGAATATGCCAATGAAACACTAGTTATGTTAAAACAGCTGAAGGAGAAATCTTTAGGCTATTTTAGTTAGTTTTACCTCAAATGACTAAACTATTTTAAGTTATTGTAACAATCCTGACGACTAGCTCAGAGTTGTATACAATTTCTAACTCTTTTATCTTTTATTCTAAATCTGTTAAACTTGCAATCGTGTAACTGCAAAAATTGCGAGCAGAAGTGAATGCACTGGAAATAAACTTTGTGGTTTGTGTTCGGTGATCTTTATTGCGTGCTACTGCAGTTACAGATGACAAACACCAACCTGCTTTAAAAAGCTGATAATTCTGCACCTGCTCAATGTGACTGCACCCAGATCAGTGTCAGTGAAGCAAACACAAAACCACCAGCAGCTGCTTCTCCATCTCTACATCACTCCAACAATCTTGTGCATGCTTTCAGTGGCATCAGTAAACTACACAGACTTCTTTAAATCCTCCAATGATTTGGCCTGTGCTATTACCACACGACTACTGTAACGAAGGCACATTTGAAGAGAATCATCTAATATAAACCAAAAGATCACAAACAACAGAACATGACGACTGCTAGTAAAAAAATGCGAGAGCATACAAATTAAACTGGATAATATAGGACAAATACTGCCGATATTTACTCACATGCTCAATTTTTATGTTCTGAAATAGGACAAAAGTATCTGGTCCAACTTTTTTGGTCAGTGTAAATGCAAAAGCTGAATTTTCATTGTGTTCCAAACAGATTTAGATCAACACGAGCATAAATACGTTTACTTTGTGTGTGAGCTGTTGTTTTACACGAACATGAGCTTGTGTGCTTGATTTAAAGGTGAGACCTCAAACAGCATGAGATGCAGGGGTTTACTGTATGGTATAATGTTGTCCTGATTGAAGGTTAAGATGCTGCTGCAGCTGTTTCAATGGTGATAGCTTCAGATCTGCCGCTGCTTTGCTCTGTGCACGTTACATGGAGTGAACCATCCCTGAAAAAACACAACACAGTCATCAGTAACAGCTTATGTTAGGGCTGCACATTATATCGTTTGAGCATCAATATTGCAGTGTGTGCATCTGCAATAGTCACATCCCAGGATCTGCATTGTTAAATTGGGATTATATAGTCACACAGTAGGCATACTGTATAGTAGGCAGCTATTACGGATTGCCCAGAACATCAGTAGCTGTAGCTCTCATCCTCTGTCTGAGGAGTTTATCTTGCTCCCTTTGGGTCGAAGACTTTAGATGCGTTTTAGTAGGACAAAACGGTTCAGGAATAGCTTTGTCCCATCATCTATTGTTGCTCTGAATAAATTGTAATCTTTTATCATGTATAATTTGTTTGTGTATATGTGGGTGTGTGATTTAATTGTTTGTATCAAATGCCAAACTTTGCTGCAAAACAGAATCTACATACGGGTACTAATAAAGTCAACTCAACTCACAGTTCAAAATATATAAGTTACTGCAGAGTTTAACTATAATGGAGCAAAAGCTGATCATTTTCACATTTTAAGCCCTAAGAGAGTTTAAAACATTCAGACACAAGCAATTTAACCAATTGTTACTTTAATAAAATTTATTTAACTATTTAAACAGTAAAGTCTTTGCAATGTTATTTTATATGAGATTTTTTCCATTTCTGTACCCGGATATGATTCGACTAGCCTGAAAACCCTAAAGCACTGCTTATTTCACTTTTATGTTTGCTCTATTGCATTTAGCTATACTTGAAAGTTGTTTAGTACATTCAGTGCATGATTTGTTCCCCTACAGAATCATGCCAATCAATATAGAATTAACAAATTGTTTCCAAAATAGAAAAATTCAAGTCATCTGATGAAACTGTATTTATATTGCAGTAAATGTCACAGAAATGTCAGATTTTTCCAATATCATGCAGCTACATTCAGATAGAGACTTTATGACTGTAGATATTATTCAGATTATGGTGCATAACACAAGGAACAACCAATAACAGTTTTCTGTCTAGACTGAAAGCAAAAATCATACATAAGATAACTTAATATTTGACGTTTAATAATAGTCTAAGTGTCTAAGGGGAGTTTTTTTTGAAAGTACAATTTATTTTATGCTAATCAAAGCTAAATTGAATCATTCAATGCTGCAATAGTAACAGTAATAATACTCAAACTTAAAAAAGCAGTATGTGTTTCAAATCTAGTTTATTTCTGTGATTCAACCTGAATATTCTGCATCATTATTTTACGCGTCACATGATCCTTCAGAAATCATTATAATATGCAGATTTCTTTATTATTATTAAACATTATGCATCAATTAAACCCTCAATTTCATTCATTACCTCTTCATAGTCAGCACTGTGACAACATCATGCAGCTCCTCTTTCGGTTCCAGGTCTCCAAGTACAATCTAGTAAAACCAAAAACAGTCATATTCAAGCTTCAAGATCAAATGCACAACACAGACTTCACACTAAAATGTGCATTAAAATCCTGGACGGACCTGTGCGATTGGCTGCTGTGCCTGGAAGAGCTGGAGCCGCACTGACGACAGACTGCCAGGGCCCTGCAGCGTGTGCTGGCGGCGGGCAGGCAGAGGAGTGCCAGACGGAAATAAAACAGTGAAAACCTCCAGCCCAGAGTCATCCACTTCCTGAAATGCCAACACCACATCTACTCATCAAAAAACAGAGCCTGCTGACTACTTAATGAGTTCACTTGACTTTGAAGAAGAGTTTAAGAAGTGTTGATGTTTGAGCAAACCCAACAGACTCCACTGCAAAGGGAGATCCTTTCTTTTTTTTAAAACAGAATTAGCTTTAAGGCCTACATTTAAAGCCTGGTAGGAACAATGTTATTATTATTGTAGATTTTAACAGAAACATACAAAAAAATTATATAATAATAGAAAAGGAAAAAAATGGATATAAAAAAATGCTGGTAGGAACTACACTAAGGTTTTTCCCTGGGTTTGTGACATCACCAACCCTAAAATATACATAAACTCCGCTCCCTGGGCATGAGGTTTCCTTTATCATGCACTTTAGCCAATCATGTAATGGTTAGCCAATCAGAACACACTGTGCCACAGTAAAAACAGTAATAAACAAAAATTTTTTTTTTTTTTAATTATAATAATAATTTAAGCCTTCAAATACGGCTTATTATTGATGGAATGAAATATCAATAATCATTAAATATTGCACTTAGTATCATGCAATATCTCCCTACCTTAAGGGTGATGTCGCTGGCACAGCAGTCCACAGTGATGGAATCTTCTCCCAAAGCCAGGCTGTCTTTTCCCACCAGGATTCCTGCCTGCATGGCAGCGCCAACCGGAATCACCTCATCCGGAGGGATGGAGTTCAGCAGCTCCACATCTGGGAATAAATCCCTGATCATCTGCTGCAGCTTCGGGATACGAGCTGATCCTCCACTTAACACCACCTTACAATGTAAGCAGAGCGGTCAGTTTAATCTCAGCGGACAAATGATATCAATATAATCAGAAAATATAATCTAAAAAGACAATATAATCATACAAAATAAACTTAATTCTACTATTTGGGCAGAAATCAGAGAATCCAACTCAAAAGTTAAAATACTGCATGATAAAACATATCTGCTAATTTATTAAATGTAATGGTCATACAGTATGTTATGTTGTTAATTCTTTAAAAAATAAACTTTACAATTGAAACATGCATCGTCTGATTTAAATGGAAAAAAATCTATATCAATAAAAAACTTATTGCCACTGTGTTCTTTCAGTAACCACTAAAGCTTTTAGTTTGAATTAAATTTGATCACTGTCTATTTTCTGTTTATAAGTTTTAAGTTTTAGTCATTTAAATAATTATAGATAGAAATACTTCAACTAAATAAAAAATGTGTTGTTTTTTGGCAACTACCTGAAATATCCAAAATTCAGCCAGAATTTATAATAACAGAAGTATTTTATTTACAGCTCCCTCTACTGGTCACTCTTTTGTATAAAAGAAAAAAC